ATCGCCGTGTATCCCTGGTCTTTAATGCGTTAGTGCGTGGTCCCGGAATTAGTTAAGCTATTCGCTAGCTTCCGCCAGACTAAGATATCTAAGTCCTTTCCGCGGAAGATTATAAGTGATCGATCTCCACCGTTAAGTGCGAGTGCAGCCCCTTTCTTAACAGGAAGTCCCTAATCAAGCTATAGTCGGATAGCGACTCGTCTCTAAGTTAGTTAGTCTAAGGCCTAGGATCCTATAGAAATAGATAAGTTAGGTATTAGAAAGGCATTTCTGATATACTTAGTCTGTATATCCGTATATCCCTTAGCTAATCCCGGCCGCCTAATTAAGTATTTAATTTAAATCCGATTCGACTACGCCGGTCTCGCCGTCCTATACTAAGGAGTTCGCTTTAAGAGCTAAGTATCCCTAGTTAATAGTTATCCGTCGCTAGGTAGCTACTTATTTCTTATAAACTTCTATCTATAATATCTTTCTCTCTACGAGATTAAGCACTAATAGCCCTTAGTCTTTTACCTATCCTTATTACGATACGTATTAGAATATATTAGTATTTTCCAGAGCTTAAGCGTATAACCTTCGATATAAACCCTTAGCTATTCCCTATAATCTATATAGTATTCGAGATTATATTCTATATATCCTCCGTTACTTACTTAGTGATCTTTATTTTAGGCCTGCTAGATAAGAGACTTTTCTCGGTTAGTCTTTGTCTAATAACTGCTTCTAACTATATAGCCGAGGTAAGTCCCTTCCTTACTAGAAGCCTCGTATCTAATATATCTCTAGAAAGCTATATAGGTCGCGGTAAACCAGATAAGGAGGGTTATCACGGTAGAACGACTAGCTAGTCTCTTATTCTCCGGGGTACTTATACTAGTCACGTTCCGACTCGAACCGGGATAGAAGCGTAACTCGGTTATCGTAGGCTATATTAACTTATACTTTTCGTTTTCCACCGCTATTATCGCTATATTAGTACGGAGAGATCCTCGCTGCTAGCGAAAATAGCTTAAGCTTATACTTATCGCTACCGCCCTGATTATTAACTTTATTTCTATAATTCCCGCCCTTAAGATATACTTCCTCTTTATAAGTAGTATACCGAAGATCGTAATATTAGAGCTAATATCCTAGATCCTCTTATACGCATCGACCTCTATTAGCGTCTTATATCCCCGCGAGCCTTTTAGGCATACTATGATATCTATCGTGATATAGAATTTATAGCGCTATAACTCATCCCGAGGAATTATTAAAGGAGCATTAAGCGTTTACTAGTAAGATAATACACGGAGCTTAAATAGCTTTAGGCCCTGGATAGGGCCTAGTCTATCCACGGAGCAGCCCTAAGGTGATAGTGCTTATAGTCGCCCAGAATTCGATAAAGGACGTATAGAGTAAAGCCGCGGCGAGGCAGCCTAGAATCCGCTTTAGTATACCTTATTCGCGATAGCAATAGGTGTTAACCCCCTTCACGGTACACGGTATATAGTATAAGAATAAGGATACGGTAGATTAGGTACAGCTATCCGGCGGGGATAGGATCTACGAACCATACAAGAAATCTTAATATCCTAAATTCATTATCAGGGCCTAAAAGACGTATATTCTAGCTACCTATAGACGTAATTAGGTGGCTCGAATATTATAAGAAGATTACTAAGCCTAATAAATAGCCTTAGTGCTTATAGCGCCACTTAAGGCAGCACCTATATACTACTAATATAAAGAGAAATTCCCGACTTATAGATCTTCGTCCGATAATAAACTATATCCTGCTATAGACTATAACTAGTAATTAGGCACTGATTCTTAAAAGTAGCTATTATAAAATAGTAAACTAATCCTATTATAATAGTAAAGACGTGATAAACTAACTAATAAGTATCGGAGAAGAATAGCGAAACGCGGCGATTTTACTAGTAAGGTTACCCCGGAGGCGTTTTAGTACTAGTAAGGTGGTGAATAGCTTACTAGGCGATAATATATTTCCCCTTTCCTAGTACGTCCACTAAGCTTATACTAGTACGGCGGGTATACGCTGGGTGGTAAATATAATTAGGTGGTATGGCTAGTAAACTATTACTAGGGCCTTACCTAGTAAAGTCCCGTAGTTATATAGCTGGTAAACTATTACTAGGACCTTACCTAGTAAAATTCCCGTAGTCGTGTGGCTAGTAAACTATTCGAGTTGTTCCGACTAGTAAACCAGGGTCGAGATATTAACCAGTAATATCCCCCCACCCACTTCGAACGTACGATTTAGGCGCTAGTACTAGTAAATCAGCGTTAGCCGTTTGACTAGTAAAAGTCCTTACGCCGTCGTACTAGTAAAAAATACACACTAGCTCGATTGGTAAAGTGTCGTATAGCGGACTAGTAAGTCGAGTTCGTCGTACGTAGTAAACCCTGATAAGGGTACGTACCGGTAAAGGTTCGATCATTTTACTGGTCAGAGCTTACGAGAGTTTTTACTACTAAACTCGCTTATATTATAGATCCGTTAGGATTTAATCAGGTCTCTGCCGACCCGCTAAAACAGTTTACTATCTAAATAGTATATGTCTAGACGCGCAAGGCAAGGGCATGCAGTGCCCAATTTGCTAGATGTTAACTTCACTCGAATTTACTGGTTATGCTAATACCTTCCGCACCTGGCTCCTTATGTTATTACCCTAGGCTGTGCCTATTTCCTAGTAAATTTGGCTGGCTCTCAGCTACACATCAAGCAGACGGATGTTGGCACTAGCCGGTGGTATGGTGTGCTTAACTCTGGGCGTAGTGTGTAGCTACCAGGGCAGGGGGGAGGACAACTGACCCAGGATTCCATCACCAACATGCAGGTGACGGCGATGCCCGCCTCCGGCCGCGGTGGGACGCGGCATGACGCTCGGGCTTGCCTGCCCAGGCGTTATGGAACGCGAAACTAAGTCGGCAGAACCATCAATACAACGCAGCAGCCCATCTGCGCTTCCAGTCGTCTTCTGGACTTTCACGTCTGCTCATGCCACAGAGTATGGGTCCCCAGGGGAGACTTCCTCCTTGGTCAAGCATCGTGACTGATCATTCAACACTGTCGTAGAATCCTGTCCAGGCCGTAAGGGATGATGACCTTGATGCAGAGTGTCTAAGGAGCGCAGCCACTTTCCTATAGAGGTATACGCAGATAAAGGCTGGGAGCGTGGGTCGAAGAAGTCGAACCCAGGCAGGGAATCCTATAGCTTCTGGTTCGGGGTTTCGTTTACTTCGGACGGCTACCGCAGGCCTCTAATATCGCCTCCTATCCGTCAGCCCCTAGACTCTTACTCCCCCTAACGTCACTCCTAACTCGCGATCATAGAGAGGGATAAACGTCCCCTTCCTCGGGGTGTAGGAGAATAGCCTAACATAATACTAAGATTCTGAACGGCGAGTCTAGCCATATACCCGAGCATCGGATTTACCGTCTTCCTACAGATCCTGACACTAGCATAGTTATGCTTAAACTACCCTACGTAAGGCGAATTTCTGGCCCGATACTGGGATTTCTTAATAGTGGGACTTCGACGCTAAGGAGTTACTGGAAAGAGCAGTCTCGTATAGCTATGAACCAGATGAAGAGGAATAAAGGGACTGGCATTTATTGTTCTGCCTACTTGCGAGGCGTACCCTGGTTCTCCCTTGGCTTAGCCTGCTAACCCCGTAGATTTCGAGCGTAGACGAGCGTAATCTTAACTAGATCTTCTCGGACTTCCTTGATATAAGCTAGTCGTAGTCGCACGTATCTATCTATGCCCGCCGTTACTATCCCGCCTTTTTTCCACTTGCTTATAACCTACTCCTCTAGAGCAGCCCAGCGTTGAGCGTACTATTCGGTAAGCTCCCGTTATCTAAGGATCCGGGAGCGGTCCCCGAAGACGGTCGCCGAAGCTAACCCTCCACCCTTAAAACGGGAGAATCATCTTAGGCGGTAGGCTATAGCTTAAAGACGCCCTATCGCGATTGGTTCGGAAAGACAGACAGGACTATCTAACGCTCTAACACCGCCGTAGTAGTGGGTGCAAAGCCACTACTACACGAGGACCCTTATGACAGCTCATCATCGGCCCTTCCGTCCTTCCCATCGCGACCCAACGGAAAAGGTGTCCTGAAGAGGGAGAAGTGCCATGCAGGCTGCGGAGTCAGTGGCGCCACCACTACCGTGTAGTCTGAAGCTCCCCTGGCCACAGACACCAGCACCTTCCGTTCCCATGAGTGTTATCGCCTTTCCCCCCTTAGAGCGACGGGGAGACCCAAGCGTCGTCAGCCAATATTCGTCCAGCGTTGGCGATGGGCTGATCGAATCTCGGACAGCCCCTCCTGCACACCACTAAACCCATCTCGCGTAGCATCGTAGCGTCGCCAAGCTTGCGCTCCAAGGCTGGATGGCTCGATCATCCCTCCTTCATTCGTCCCCAGGTGAGCTCAGGGGAGAGTCGGCCATGGCCAGAATGGTAGCTTCATCGGCAAAGGCCGCCACGTCATGAGGAGAGTAGGAGACGGCATCATGGAGGTCAGGGCCGGCCTCGACTCTTCCCGCCTATCCTTCAATACCTTCAAACCCTAAGAATCAATTCGTTAAGGTCGGCTCTCGCTACGGTAATAGGCGACGGGTAAGTAGTGATCATCGGGCGCTGGAAGAACATTTATGAGCTTGTGGTTGCAGGAGGGAAAAGGGGCGAGAGGGAAGAGCTCACGATACTATAGCATGTAAAGTAAAGGGGCCAACGTTGGCGAGATAAGACGAGACCTTAGTTCGGTTCTATTCTACGCTATCTTGGTTAGCAGGATTTGCCGGTACGCCGGCCTTGTTGGACGCGGTAATGGCAAGGATGTACGTAGGGAGATTTTGCGGTATTTTTGTGATTGGTCGATGGAAAGAGCTGAGGGACGAGCGTGGACGAAGAAGAAATAGGGACGAGAGAAGCTAAGGGGGAGTAAGGGAGGTTTAAAGTAGTGGAAGGCGAAGAGGGATAAGAGAGGTCGTCGTGAGATACCTCGATGTCTTGATGTCAGGTACGTCGCTGTGGGGCATGCACGGGCCAATAGGCCACACGTGACGGCGGATTTGGAGGAGTCAGAAACCGGCCTCCGTGGCAGCGGCACACGAATTCCTTGAACTTTGGATAACGCCCAAAGAGTTGACAGTTGACTGGTTCGAATTCTTCACACTCCATGTCGCCTTCACACTCTCGACCTGCCACGTCTCCCACAGAAGTCTGAGACTAATTTCTCTTTTACACGGATAATACGGCGCCAGTTCCCACCATGTCAAGCGGCGACGCCCTTCCTACGAGGTCCGCGGACGCTGAGAAACAGAAACCAATCCACGGTATCTGTCTCGATGCCGGTCCATTGATCAAGAATGACCCCCCCGTCAGCACTCTGCTTTCGCAAGCCCACCAGCTATACACCCTTTCCTCCATACTGGAAGAGATCCGCGACACCGCCACACGCACCCGTGTTGAAACGCAACTCCTCCCCTTCGTAACCCTGCGGAATCCACGACCAGCGAGCATCAAGTTCGTGACGGATTTTGCGCGGCGGACGGGCGACCTGGAAGTCATGAGCAGACCTGACGTGCACCTCCTTGCACTGACCTATGAGCTGGAGCTGGAGCAAAACGGGGGAGACTGGAGATTACGGAAGATGCCTGGTCAGAGGGGAATCAATGGTCAGACGCCTTCTACGGAGCAGCAGCAAACGGGAACCGAAGAGCAAACACAGACAGATGCGGAAGCGGAATCATCTGGACCCGTCGAGGCACCGCCGCCTGTTGACAGCGACAAGAAAGACGGAGATCAAAACGCGGGCGGGGACGCGGACAGCACGCGGATGAGCGAGGGCATGTCACAGCTAAACCTGGACAGCACCACCATTGAACAGGCAGCCCAAGAATCGCAAGAACCCCCCGCAACAGCAGACGAAGGGAGCGAAGGCTCAGACTCCGACTCGGACGATGGCTGGATCACGCCGTCCAATCTCAAGAAGCACCAAGCCAAGGACAACAAGGAGGTGATCCCCACCGCGGCCGACCAGCCGCTGAAAGTGGCCCTCCTCACCTCCGACTACGCCATGCAGAACGTCGCGCTGCGGATCGGCCTCAACCTCCTGTCCCCCTCCATGTCGCGCATCACGCAGGTCAAGAACTGGGTCCTCCGGTGCCACGGGTGCTTCCAGGTGTGCAAGAAGATGGACAGCCAGTTCTGCCCCAAGTGCGGCCAGCCCACGCTCACGCGGGTGTCGTGCACGACGGCGGACGACGGCTCGTTCCGGATCCACCTGAAGCGGAACTTCCAGTGGAACAACCGCGGGAACGTGTACAGCATACCCAAACCCGTCACCGGCACGGCGAGCGGCAAGCTGCCTTACAAAGGCGCCGGCGGGAAGAACGGCTGGGGCACCAAGTTGATCTTGGCGGAGGACCAGAAGGAGTACGAGAGGGCGCAGGGCGAGAAGCGGCGGCAGCGGCAGAAGGACCTCATGGATGAGGATTACCTACCCAATATCCTCACCGGGGAGAGGTCAAGCGGGAATGGGAAAATACGGCTGGGGCCTGGAAGGGCAGTAAACGGACGGAAGGGGAGAGGTTGATGTGCGGAGACTCGATAGAAATGAATGCAGTATTTCTCATTTTTCCATGCCAAGGTATATTTCGTGCGGCAGGTGACAACTTGAAAATCCTCCCCCCAAAAACTCCATCCTTTTATTTGGATTATTTGATCAGAGCCCCAACGCCAAAAACTTGGAATATTGTCGTCGCAACCGATGACTCGACCGCAGCTTGGCTCTCATACAGATCCAAAGCCGCTTGCCCCCGTCCCAGACATGTACGGACGTCCCACGAGCTGGTTGCGTTGCCATCGAAAGGGGGGCGATGCGACACGAAGATGCAATTGCTGTTATGGCGGCCTTGATTTAGGAGGCGTGATGCTTGTCCTCTGGATATATCAGGTCAGCGCAGGCCATTCCGAACGAACCGGGAGTCGGAAGGGGAACAAACGCACTCTGCTGGGTAAGGAGGAGACCGAAGCGGCGCTTGAGCGTCACTCGCTGCCTCGACCACTTGTCGTCGGGGGAAAACCTTGCGGGATGCGCGCTCTTGGTGACCTTGCCGTCGGGGGTGACTTTGCGAAGCGTGTAGATACGCTCCCCCGACTCCGAAAGGGTGTACTGCAGTGTCGGCTAAGTTAGTGAAGTGTCGCCAGGAACAAGCGGAGAATGACAATAATTACCATAAGATGCATTTTGGGATACTGGGAGCGCAATTGTCTGGGAGGATTCGTAATGGTACGGACTGATGGTTAATCGCGGCGTCGACGGTCCATGAACCTTCGAACGAGAATGCAGCTTTTTTTTTCTGCCAGGCGGTGGAGACTTTAGGTGATTGCAGTGGGGTTCTTAGTCAGCTGTTGATGTTAGGAAGTGAGGCTCTCGAAGTACAGTGCAAATAACTATCCCGCACTCCTTCTAAGGCTTCTCAATCTTGTGATGGAATCGCTATGTAGAAAGGCAGGGAAATCCTGCACCCTGTAGATTATTTACGACCAGAAGGACTAATTCAAAAAGCACCCGTGTGCTTTGTTACTGGACTTATTGGATACTTCCCGCTTGCATACTGCCTCGGTAGGTATACTTTGTAGTCCAACGGGTTAACCGGTATCACGTGCGAAACTGCTTGGGCGGAATTGGCTTGTTGCAGGCCGTAGACGCGGCACCAGACTCTCTCATTTGCATCCTTCTAATTCATATCGTCAAACCAGTGTGGTGCATTTTGCGCAATGGCTACCGACATCGACATCATCAAAGGGCGCCAGACTGTCCTCGTTACGGGGTAAGCACACTCCTTCAACGGCAAAAACAAGCTGCAAGCCTGCAAGGACGCTCTATCTAGTATGGGCCGTTGTCGTCACGCAGCCTCACGCTCAAAAGTCAACGCAGCAGAGCTTCCCCCACCCCATACCTCCGTACAGCTTTAGGATGCTTTACATTGTCGCTAACCATATCTGTAGATGCACTCCCGGAGGCATTGGCCATGCGGTGGCGCAGGAGTTCCACGCCCGAGGTACGGCCTGAGCCCCTCTCATGGACGACAGAGGGCGCGTTGTCGTTGTCGGTAGTGTTGCCCTAACTTCAACCAGGCCTTCACGTCATTGCCACGGCCCGTCGCGCTGAAGTCTTGGAAGACCTCGCGAGGCAAGGCATGTCGACCTTCGAGCTCGACGTTACCAAGGCCGACAGCATCGCCGCTTGCAAGCAACAAGTCGCCGCACTGACGGGAGGCCGTCTTGACATTCTCGTCAACAATGCGTCAGTGAAACCAATCTCACCATTCATTCCCCCATCCTCCCACAGGTGCCTGCTGACCAAGTTTTCGTAGCGGGATGGGCTATGTCACCCCCGCCACCGACATCGACCTCGACGAGGTCCGCGCCGTGTTCGAGACCAACGTCTTCGGCGTCATGGCCATGGTCCAGGCCTTCGTGCCGCTTCTGATCCCCGCCCGCGGTCTGATCATCAACATCAGCTCGCTCTCCTCCCTCACCCCTTACGTGTTCGCCAGCGTCTACAGCTCGTCCAAGGGCGCCATCAACTCGTACAGCCGCACCCTTCGCCAGGAGCTGCGCCCCTTTGGCATCCGCGTCATGGTCTCCATTACCGGCACCGTGCGCAGCCAGACGGGGAACAAGCAGACGCATCGCACGCTGCCGCCCGGCTCGCTCTACCAGCACATCCGAGACGTGTTTGAGCGCCGTCTGACGTGGTCGCAGAACAACGGGACCGTCGAGACCCCTTGCTTTGCGAAGCAGCTCGTGAGCGAGGCGCTCCGTGGGGAGGGGTGGCTGGGCGGCTGGCTCGGTGGTACGCGCAACTGGTTCTGGGCTGGCGGTTTGGCTACTCAAGTCTGGCTTGCTAAGTTCTTTGGCGAGTGGCTGCTGGATGAGATTACGTATCGTCGTTTTGGCATGAATAAGCTGGCTGCTATTGTAAAGGCACAGGGCATTAAGCGGAGTCCATGAAGCGCAGAAGCGGTGACTTGGTTTGGAGAATATAATAATGCCTTGTGCACGACGAAGAAGAATCCAAGTTGCTTTTCTGTTGAAGGTAAGGTCGTGTTGTCCGTTTACCACTCTATGCACCGACAATTTGTCTTCACAGTATCTACTTTCTCAGCCATCGATACACCAACTGTCGGGTCCAGGGGCTCTTGAGTCTTGCCATCGCCCTCCCGAGTCCCAACTTGTAGACATTGTCGAGGGCGTCATGTCGTGACGTCTGTGTTACGCGACTCTTGACATAAGTGCCTATGACTGAGAAGAACCGGTCTCAGAGAAAGGAAGTCGTCTTCCCTTTCCGAAGCGTGGTCGGTTATAACCTCTCAGGACATTCTCGGGGTCCATGTGTCCCACGGAGTCACGGACCCTCCTTCACGGGCCATTATTTGGTCACCATATTAATGGGTCCAAAAAAATGCTTATCGAAACAGAGTGCTGGTCCTCCGCCACCCCCTGTCTAGTCCTCCGGGTCGACTCAAACTCTTTCTGGATTAAAAATCCACTATATCTCCACCACCCGAAGATAGGTAGGTTTCCTAGGTACCCTTATATATAATATAAGTAGATAGAACGCGTATAAGGACTCTGTAAAGGCCTTTATAAAGAAGGCCTCTACGAAGAAGGCCTCTACAAAGAAGACCTCTACGATAAAGGAGCCTTAGCCCTAACCCTTCCGTGATATATTACTGCGTTCTGTTAATATAGAGGTACTTTGTGAGACCTGGGAAACCCCACCTAATTTCGGGTGGTGGAGATATAGTGGATTATCTAATCCGAAAGTAGTTTGAGTCGACCCGGAGGACCAGACAGGGGGTGGCGGAGGACCAGCACTCATCGAAACATTATTTGCCAAGCTTGGGAACCGAGTACGGATGACTGGGGGAGGGGCGGTCGGCTAAAACGGTCGTTTGCCGGGACATTTCCCGGTTGGCTCGCGTCTAATCTTCTCGGGGAATTGACTACACGTGTACATAGGCGCGAGACACATACGCCACACTCTTGGCAGCTTATCTCACTTGGCGTTTGGAGTCGATTTCGCGCCAAGATACAACGTCATGTTCTCGGCGTGCGGCGTGCCACTTCATACCGGATGTGTGGCCGCCTAGCATCATGCCTCCGGAGCCTAGCAGCATAACTGCCGTGGCATCTTCTGTTACATGGAGGAGCTGACCAGTTAGTTATTGTTGGCTATTCTAGGCTCAGTTGTTCAACGACGTCCAACTCCTGTCCTCCTCCCTTACATCGCTTGACTAGTTAGTTATTGCGACCCGATGTTGTCTCAACCCAACCTCGAGCTAGCTACCATAGTGTTCCACAGCGAGCCTGTCCCACCAAGAGCTTGACTACATGCACATTTTACTAGGCCTTCCCCCCCGTGGAATCAGTGGTGGTGACGCCAGTGGGCGTGGTGATCGGCGCAGAGGGGGCCACCGTAGCAGCGGTGAGGGTGGTGGCCGAATACTCGAACATCGCAGCGCGCTTCACCCAGTTGGCGCTGTTAACGTTCGTTGGGCGGCTCACTTGGGTCACGGGATCTTCCCTCCACGTCTGCGCTGGCCAGTCATAATCCTCGAAGAGAGGGTCGTCATCGAGCACACGGAAGCCGTGGTCCGATACGGTCGACTCGATGCCGCCTGGGGCGGTATAGGTCGCGTAGCAGGGGGCCTTGCCGGAAGAGGAGTCAAACTGGAGCAAAGTGCTACGGTTAGCGACGGTGTTGCGTTGCTGGAATCTAGCTTGCATGGCAAAAAAAAAGAAAGAAAAAAAAAAAAAAAAAGGAAGAAGAAGAAGAAAGAAGAAAACTTGATTGTGCGGGTAGATTCGGGGCGAAGGACAGGATGGCTTTTCACTTACACCGTACTTGCGAATGACCTCACTTGCTGCCGCCGTCATTCTCGGGTCGTTTGCAGCGAGGGCATTGTAATCGAAGGCCCTAGGACTATGATTAGCAGGTGACACGTTCGTGTCCTCTTACCACAGCTGGCTCCATCACTTTCATGGTTGACTGAGAGGGAGATATGAGATATTGACTCACCAAGTGATGGGAGGAGGAGCACCCATGAGGGTGGAGCATGGATACCAGGTGGCCAGGAGCCATTGGTTAAAGTCTTGACCTGGGAAGTGCGTCTTGGGTTCAGCATCGGTAGTCCTCAAGCTCGGATAGGAGTGTATCATGTATGTGTATGTGTTATGTGCACTCACCCTGGTCACCATTTTCGTCGCCGTCGATAGCGCGGAGCGCTTGTTTGGCCATGGCGGCCGAGTCTATGAGGTTGGCCATGGGAAACTCATCACTGAAATGCAAGGCATACGGTTAGCAAGCAAATCCACAGGCAAGAAGACAAAAGTTGAAAAGACCCCTGATCAGCAATGCAGGGCAAGCCCGACTTACATCTCGCATCGGTAGCGTCCACCCTGCGGTTGGTAGGATTTGTACCAGTCCCTGTGTCTTCTTGAGGGTGCAAACCACCTCTGTTTTGTTCTACCGCTTGAAATGCCCGCTGTTACACGCAATCAGTGGTTATGGATCATGAAGCACAGCAGGCAAAGGAAGAGCCGAATAGGCACCGCAAACTTACATTCGTCCTTGTAAAAGACAGTTCTCCCACCAAGGATTTCTGTTGCGAAAGGCAGGCATCAGACTATCAGTCCTATTCAAGTCCCAGGGGAGTGGGCACGGAAACCCTTACCGTCGATGGCCCAGCGCTGATTATCACAGATCTAGGTTAAATGTTAGCATCAGTTCGGCTGCGTCTTAACTTTTGAGAACCATAAACAATGTGCGTACCTGGTCAAATCCTTGTCCATATGCGCAAGTATCTAGACATTCCAAGTAAGCAACGGGAATACGGGATGCTCGAGGAGAATTGAAAAAAATCCCCCCTTTCCAGGCGGACTTGTGCCGGTATAACGGTAACATTCAAGACTTTGAAAGAGAAGGAAAGAAACCCACAAGTAGTAAAGCAGGTAAACGTCCCCGGCGGATACACAGCTATAGCGTATCTTTTGATCATGGATGGTTAGCTCTTGAAGCCAATTCGTCGCGATATAGAGGGGGGCCAGGGGTCCTCGGGCACTGCAGTGTACTGCACTGCACTGCACCGAGCTTCTTAAGACTTACCGTCCGTAATGCGTTCTGGTAGCGGCATTCTGCTTGGGTTTCCCCTTGGGCGGCGGCTTCCTAATCCCGCCAGGCATCACCAGACCGGCGGCGACCCTCGATCCATGTCGCGTTATGGGTCCAGAAAAGCCGGTTGGTCCCTTGCTAGACGCCTCTCCTATATGGGTGAGGCAATACATCTAATAGTAAAAGTGCAGGGTTAGAGACGGAGAACCCGTGAAATAGAAGTTGAGCACATCAAGCTGATGAACAAGGAACATTGAATCAAGAGATCATCTTGACTGCATGTGTCATGGACGACCAACTCACAGCTACTGAGCCGCCGACAATGGCATCAACGCCCCATCCGAGAGGGCCAAAGGTGGCGCTCGCCAGCATTAGACCACCGTATGCGACGACTCCGGCCTTGGCACACGATCTATAATCACGCTTGGCCAGGGCGTTTGGGTCGTCGTGGAGCTCGATGTGCTGTGGATGCACGAGGTCAACATCTCGATGGGCCGTCATTGAAGGGCGGAAGCCGCGGCAACAATACGCCATCAAGCCTCCCTAGCACAGCTGCGTTAGTTGCAATGTTCATGTTCCGTACATGATATGTAGGGCAGGGCAGGGTAGGGTCATATTGAGCTTGGGAGGACTAGGACTCACGTTGCAAGTCTTCTCCTCCTTCCAGTCGGTGTCAGGGCTCTCCCAGAAATAGTTGCTGTTCTGCGTCACCAGGGTATCTCCGTTCGGGCAGCCTCCTGTACAACAACGCTCGGGCGTCAGGACTCAGGACTCAGATAGACATACATGACACAATCTGCACATGGACACATCACATGGTGATACCAACTGGCAACTTACCTCCGTAACAGGAGAGTCCCTGGCCCCTCCATCCGTACCAGCCACACCTGCCGAGGTATGTGCCAGTGGCACAGCAGAGTGTGTGATACTCGTTGCTGTTGCAGGCGCTTCCGCGGCCAAGATTCCCGACCTGTCCTTTCATTTTCTCCGCGGCCGAGTATCCCGGCTGGCACGGCTCTCCACAGAAGCTGACGTAGCAGCTTTCTCCAGCGTCGTGGTGCCGCTCGAACTCGACAATCTCGTCACTGCTGATGCCGTGCATGGCCATGAGGCTGATTCCGGAGGACAGCTCGTTACTCGAGCCGTACACGCCTTGGTCGATTGCCCAGATCATGGTACCTCCCAGGCCCAGTCTCGAGGCGTAGTCGATCTTCAGCTGGAAAGTCTCGTAGTCTTCGTAACTAACCCACTGAGGGGTAAAGAAAAGGAATGGTCAGCGCCGCTGAACAGGATCAAAGACTGCATGTGGCCTTCTCGGCATGTCGGCTCAGGCTGCCCAGAACGATCACTAAACAACGCCCAGCCGTCAACGCACCTGGTCATTGTCCCACGTCATCCACTTGACCGCAGCTTCGTGGTCAAAGTCCTCGTCCACGTCCTCCGTGTCGCGGATCCGCTCGATCTCGGCCAAGGTGAGAACACCGGGGGCTTTGGAGCATTCTCCCTCTCTCGCGCCTTCGGTGAAGACGCAGCCGGGGCTGGTGCAGGCTGGGTCGGCGAGGGTAAAGGAACGGCCGTAGTAGGCCAGCCCGAGCACGACGTTGGCAGCACTGACGCCGGATCTCCACAGCAGGGAGAGTGCCTGGTCAATTTCCGTGAGGTTGGTGTGAGGCCTGTTTGTTTGTGTGTTGGTTAGCCAGTTCTTATCCGTCCAACGTCCCCCCGAGGCCCGGGGCATGGAAGTGGACGGCGGACGCCAAAACGGCATAGAAAAGACCAGAGACGAGACAAGACGAAGCATTATATTGACGCAGGGGTCTTACCTGGCATAAGGCCCAGTCCAACGGTTGTCTAGTAGAAGTCAGCATACTTAGTTCTCCAACTCTTAGACCACTGTGAGTCGGCGTAGTATGCTCGACAACAACAAACGTCAGGAGAAGAGCTGGAAGACCTTGAGCACTCACCTGCATCCCATACACCGTGGATATCGTAGGTCATAACGTTCAGCCAGTCGACATGAGGCTCTAGTCCAGCAACATCAAAGTGCCGCAGATACCAGAAGCTTGCGGGCAGTGTCACCGACAAGCCGTAATGGCCTGCAAAGGCTTCCTTCATCTCCTTGCAAAGGAGGACAAAGTTGTCCTTGTCTTGGGGTCTCCCCCCGCGGTCTTCGGCTCCCGGGTACTCCCAGTCGATATCGGCGCCGTCGAAGCCGTAGTTATCCATAAAGTTGATGAGGGAGCGGATGAAAGTGGCACGATTCTCGCTGGTCATGGCCATATCACTAAACGCCGTCCGGGTACTATTATAGTGTGTCACTATCAGCATTGCAAGCAGAGCGCTCCCCAACTCACCAAGGGGGACAAATAGTCAGCACGAATTCTAGAAAGACTTACTTGGGGTTGTTCCCCTTGTCGTTAAAAGACCAGCCGCCGATGGCAATCCAGGTTTGCATTTTCGGGCGGTAGACCTTGAGATTGGTGAACTCCCTCAGCAGCGACTGCGCGTTGGCGTCCATGGCCGTCATCTGGAAAGTGGTCGGGTGGAAAAAGGCAAAGGCAAAGTTGAGATGCGTGAGCCCTTGCAGGTCGAGGTCGTCCGGATAGACGATGTCGCAAGGGCGTGTCGTGGCCCACGACTCGTAGTAGCCGATATGACGCCTGAAGCCCATGGCCTTGCCTTGGGGCTCGGGAGCGGCACCGCAGTCCGAGACGGTCTCGTCGCAGTTCTCAAAGCAGAACTCGTCTGTTGTTCCGCAGAATCCCCATACCGACTTTAGGTGTAAACGTCAGCTTGAGCCTTTTTGGTGCACTTGGGTGGAATAGGGGGGCAGACACAAAAAAAAAAGGGGGGGGGGACAAAAAAGGGGGCCGACAAAACAGGGGGCGAGAAAATAGGGGGATGATAAAGGGTGATACATACACAGCACACGTTCAAGGGGCACCTTTCCTCCCCCTCTGGAGCGTATGGCCCGCACTGAGCTTTGGCATTGCAGTTGGATATACAAACCTCCGCACCGCAAAAGTCGGGACTCTGTTGAAGGTTCAATGTTAGTTTCAGGGGACTTCAAGTAGGGTGTAACTGTTCGTCTTGGGTACAAGGCAGGAAAAAGGATAGATGAAAAGAGGACAGCTCGGAAACTATTCACATATCCACAAAGACCAGTCTCTCCCGAACAGCAGGCGCCGTTCGTGCAAGGCATGCCCGGACCACAGGTCCCCTCCTCCTGTAGCAGTCGAAAAGCCGACGAGGTGGCGGAGTTTGATGACCTGTGGCCCGATGTTCGTGCGCCAGGGGCATCGGGCCTGGGTGGGAGAATATCCTCGTTGAACTTGGGAGTCGAATTTGAGTACCTTGGGACCAGAGGCTTGTAGACTGTCTGGTTGAAGACGGGGGACGAGACGGTGTCATCTCGAGGCCGAACTCGCAACGTCCCGGCAGAGACGAGATCAGCGAGAAATAGAACTAGGGAAATGGCAATAAATGCGAGCAGCTGGGCTCGCCAGAAAAGAGTCCCCATCATCACAATACAATACCCTCTCGATAAGAGGAGCGATGGCGATGCTCAACGAGGAAGGCTTCAGTTGGGAACACCAAAGGAGAGAGGGACCAGAAGGGTATGAGGGAACGTGCAAGTTTGGAGATCCCGTATATGTGCCGCCGAACACCGAAGGGAGGTAATTAATCATCCGGGGTTAGAACTTAGGTGAAAGGGGACACTCCCCGACTCTGGAGCACACGCCTGCAAGAATCATGATGCGGTGTGGGTATGGCTTTTCTTTCGGGATAGCTGCGTGGGTGTGGATGGCTCGAGTGAGTCGAGTCTCGAGTCGATGAGAGCAGCATCCCAATATTTCCCGCAGTAAGCGCTCCCAAAAGTTTTGTCCATGCATAGACCGTGATCACATGGAGAGCAGAAGGCGCCTTCAAACCCCTGCTGCGCCCTGGGGCCTGGGCCCCTGCTCGTCCCTTGGCGAGGACAACAGTTGAGAGCACGAGGACATGAACTTACCTGGCAAGGCCCCTATTGAACGTCCAGGGTCCTCATTCGTTGGCTTTCACAAAATCATAGCCCACATTCCGAGAAAACCATTCGACCTGGAAGGGTCTGTTCGTCTTCGCTGCAGAAAGTCCTGCAGTTGAACCCTCGCAAGAAGAGCCTGAGCATGCTGCATGTCCACAGTCCATCTTACCGTCTTACCGTCTTACTCTTACCCCACCGCCCGAAGTTCGGAACCGAACAGACCCTATGGGACACGGTCCGACCCATCGGGCCCCCGCCGGGTATTTCCGTGAACCGGTGTCAAGCTCTAATATCAGTGGCTGTCAACGACGGAGCGGGGACTGCAAGGAACCAGCATAGGTATGGTACTGGAAGTAATAGACTGGCACTATCGATTTTTCCTTTTTCCTGTTGGAAGCTATATCGGTAATGCAATGAACTTATCAGTGATTGGATGAAACCTCCCGGGCACCGGCGCGTGTGCGGACAGGGATCATGGTTCTGACTTATACCCGCACCCACGCGGGGGGCCCCGCGGGCCGCGGCCCCCGCCCCCACACCGACCCGTCACTGCGGCAGCCCTGGTTGAAATAGGGGACCTATCAGGAACTATGCCTGGGTCAATATTGTACCTAATACTTTCCAGGGTTCAATATTGTCAAGGCTCGCGAGGTAAAGGATTGCCGTTGTCACAAGCTTGGGTTGGGTCAGGGGCTCAAGTCTCAGGATGACAAGATGGATCATGGTCCATGGATCCCTGGGATCAAAAAGTTAACCGCCCATGCAGCATTGCAGCCTAGGTATACCGTACATATGTGCGTGACTCGTGAGTAATTACTTTACGATATCTCGAAGCATAGGGTGGACCACTGGACTCGGGTGGAGGGGTTGCAACTTGCGGCTTGCGGTTTGCATGGTCAAAAGTCCCGCCCCCAAAACCTTCGCTCCTGATGCTCTGTCTTCCTGTACTTCTGGCCTCTCGCCATCTTTTGCGCCGTCCCTCTGGTCTTTTCTCTCGGCACTAGAGTCTAGGAGTACCGGGCCATATTCTTATACTTCCAACCAATTTCTTTTTATTACGGTCGTTCTGCCTTGGCTGGAGCTGATCTCTGGTAGGCAAAGGAACCGTCGAGTGAACATCATGAAGGCCACTCAACTTCTGTGGGTTTCAGCCCTATGGAGTCTATCCAGTGCTTCGTTTGTGTTGTACCGCGGAAGAAATTTAGGAGAATGGGCCGAGGAAAGAGGTGTCTCAACGTCTTGTATGGCGGCTCTGTAAGTTCCATCACTTCATGCCATGGACGGACCATATTAGGCCTGCTTGCGTGAAGGTGTGTTAACCCGCGAGACAGGAACACAACGCTCGACTGTGAGGACACGTTTCTGGAGGATATCATCCAGCTTGAACATTTCCAATGGCTTTTGTCCAACATGACCGAGGGATGCACGACCTCGTGTGAGACCGACATCAACCAGTGGGTGTCCGACGTCCAGACCGAATGCGCGGGGCAAGAAATGAGGGAGATGGGCAACATTATCCGCCCGTGGTCACTGCCGTTGATCTACCAGCACAAGTATCAGCTCGGATGCATGAGAGGCAGCGCATCTGAGTGGTGCTGGCTGGACAGTCTAGAGTGGGAAGGCAGCGAGATCCCCACCTACGACGAGGACCTCTGCATCACAGGCAAGCAAATTTATTCCAAGTTGAATCAACGGATCCCGAGTCCCCGCTAACCATATCAACTTCCTTGCAGGGGATCCCGATTTCGATGCCGACGTTTGCTTCGAAGAGGGGTTTGATCAATATGCCGTCGAGGCGGACGACGTGAGACTGACCAATCTCTATGATGAGGAGCTTGTAAGTTGCAGAGATACCAGAGCATGGGCATTCCACTCCGTGTAGCGCCCGCGGCCCTTGCCCCGCGAACCCGAGTCCTAACGTCTCAACTTCCAGCTCTGCAGTGACTGCTTCCTCAAAATCTTCCATCACCGCCTCCTCTCGCCCGTGCTAGAGATTGGCGACTTCACCGACTACCTCATCGAACAGCACGGCGAGCTGGAGACATTCTGCTCCACATCCATGCCTTTGACAACCTCCTCGCCAGAGCTCTTCCTGCGCACCATGCCCATCCCCACCCCGACGACGACAGGCAGTGCGCCCCCGGTCATGACGACCTGCGCGGGACAGCTGATCGAGCCAGAGCCGTCCCAGCTCTGGTGTGACGCGCTGTCGGTGCAATACAACGTACCCACAGGTGACCTGATTGTGCTCACAAAGGACTGGAGCTGCCGTCTGGACGAGGAGATCTGTGCCCCCCCACCGTGCCAGCTCCAATACATCGGCTTTGAACAACTATGGACCTGGTGAGCAAGAACAACAACCAAACCTTCTACCATCTCTTCTTAGAGCATGAGCTGACACAGCAAATAGCGAGTCCCTCCGTGCCCTCATCTCGACGGCGGAGAAAAACGTGACGGAGGCGGAGTTTGCGGCTTGGAACAAGCGTATTGTGGGCACCTGTGACCACGTTCGAGGTGACCAGTATATCTGCGCCGGGTACGTTCCCTCATAACATACGTTCCAGGAACAGGGTAGTTGGGCAGTCGCTGACATGGCAGAGAAAAAGGCCCCCTGGAGGCGAGTACGAATTCCCTTCGCCGATATACGCGCCCACCTCGTCGGCTTTTTACTCCACGGCGACCCCTGCTCTTCCCACGCACTCCGGAACGACGGAAAGCTGCGGCAAATACTTCGACGCACGCGCTGGCGACACGTGCAATGGCATCGTCTTGCGAGAGTACGTCACAAGTCAAACCCCAAGATCCATCCCAACCTCTCGCTCATTCTTAGCGGAAATCGCTGACAAAGGGGTTTTCGGGCGGGGCGTGGTAAAGGAGCATCACGCTCGACCAGTTCTTGGTGTTGAATCCCCAGATTTGGTCTAACTGCACTAACCTTTGGATGGACTACTCGTACTGCGTGGCGCCCGTCCTGGAACCCCCCGTGAGCGCGAACGGGGAATGTGGACCCGACAACGGGCATGCCGTCTGCGGAGGCTCCGGGCACGGCATCTGCTGCTCGTACGCCGGGCAATGTGAGTTGCAATTGGTCTCTCCCGTTACCTTTTTCAGATGGTGCCCTAGGGGGCCAAAAGAAAAGAGAAGTCCAGCGCAACTCCGCTAACACTCCTTGTAGGTGGTTCCGGGATAGCATTCTGTGGTGCCGGGAACTGTTACAGCGGCGGTAAGACAATCCTCTAGGCTTCCTGTCCAGTCGACTCTTTTGATATAATACGGGCACTGATGGCACGAACCTCTAGAATGCACGGATCCCTCCGATAATGTGAGCGAGGACGGCTCTTGTGGCCCCGACAATAACGACTGGGTGTGTGGTGGAGAGAGCGGGTGGGGGAATTGCTGCTCAATCTACGGCTGGTGTAGGTGACCCCAACACTCGCAGCACTCTGCAGACCTGTCATTTCCGATGTTTCCCACTCGCTAACAAAATGTAGGCGGAAATTCCGAGCTGTATTGCGCTCCAGGCTCGTGCCGTACGTATCTATCCTCATTCCCGCCCTATTCTGACTCACGGCCAGGGCGGATAAGAAGCAGACACTGACATTTGCTGAAGATAGCGGACAATGCGACACCGACGAAGGCGGCCCTTCCGTGGACGGTTCTTGTGGGCCGTTGTTCCCCGGCGACAAGGTGTGCGAAGGCACCCATTTCGGTGACTGCTGCAGTATTTATGGATACTGTGGTTCAGGTCCGGGCTACTGTAAGTGGCCCTCTGCTCTGAAATTGAAGAGAGGATCGATGCACCTGTCGTGACTCGTATCGCAACACAAGAACTAACAAGCCAAAGGCGGAGCCGGAAACTGCCATTCGGGCGACTGCGACTGATCGCGGAGAGGCAATTCAGGTCGTGAGAAAGGAATTTGACGAGTTCCGGAATATTCTCGGGTATGACTCGAAAAGAGTCGATATACAGTCGATATACGGTCGATATATCATGACCATTATGTAGATGTAGACAGTTGGAATAAGCCCAAGGATGTGGTGAGTCTGCGCTGTGAGAGACCTTTGGGAGTGATGTGAGGTTAATATTTAAGCACGTGACTCGCAGTGACAGGAAGTACCTGATATAGACGTTTCTTTCGTAGGAGGATAACGTGCTTGAAAAGGGTTCATGTAATTAACAGATCTGTCCGATCAGCACGTGGAAATAACGTAAGCTACTGCTTCTTGCAGTCTGCCCTCTCAATACCTTAAGGTACCTTAGGTACCCAAGGTAGTTCTCGTTTGTTCCTTGACCTATGGATTCCATCGACAAACCATCACCGAGTCAACAAGGGCTGGAAAAAGACGCATCCAGGTCGGATGCGAGCAGGACGCCAAGACATGGAACCCCGGCCTAGTGCGTAATTATTATTTCGTACAGGAACGTGGTTTCCCGCAGGTCCCAAGCCCCAGTGTCGACGTCTGCTTCTGCGTCTGCTTCTGCGTCTCTCCCACGCCTGAACGTGGCCGGCCACCCATGACCTAATAGACCACGCCTCTCACAGCCTACAGGAGGACGCAAGCGGTACCTGCCTTTATCATGGACATCGCCTTCGACCCGGTGCGATGCGCGGAGCTGCACAACCAACTCCTCGCAAAGGCCATCGCGCACATCCCCGGCGCCGCCGAAGAGGTGGTGCGGGGGGACGTGATCACGCGGCTCCTCGACGTCGCGCCCGAGTGGGCTGACATGGACGCCCCCGACGAGGTGCCCATCTACCGCTTCCTCTCCCTACTTGACAGCTACCGGCCACTCGAGGTCCGCCTCACGCCCGAGTTCTGGCAGCCCGTGCCGGCCTATTTCTGGAATGACCTCTACCAGGACCTGGACAGCCGCGATCTCATCCTGTTGTACCCGGACAACACGAACACCCCTATCATGGACGGTGGGCTCTTCCTCAACCTCGACACGAACCTCGTCCATTGGGGCCGTGTCAACGTTCACCCCCTCCCGCCCGACGAGTCCTGGGTGCCCCTTGAACTGGCCCTGACCAAGGCCCTGGACATGTGGGAGTGCGGCAAGTTCCACTGTGGGCCCTCGCCCTTCAGCAGCGAGGACACCCTCTCGACACGGCCCTGGACAGAGCGAGATCTCGAAGACGCCGTGTCGGCGTGGGACGAACTCCTCACCGCCATCCGGGACCGTCTTCCCCTGCCACCCGACGCCCCGAGACCGCCCATCCAGGACCCTCTCCCCTCCAGCCTAGTCGAGCAGTTCGACCTAAGCCCCTTCGCAAAGGCCTTCCTGACCACGGCCAAGCGCCCGTCGTTCGCCTACGTCGCCCCCGGCCACCTGACCACCTTCACCCGGCAGAGCTTCGCGGACCTCTACGCCGCCGAAACCCCCGACGCCCCGCGTCGCGCGCAAAACGCAAACGCCGCCGCCGCGGACGAGTACGCCTCTCTCGTCCTCCCCGCCACCCTCGCCGCCGTCCCCGAGGGTGCTGCCGATCCGTCCTTCGATAAAGACCACGGGCATGCAAAATTTACTATCAATCGCCGCGCCGGGTTGTATACGGACCCGACGATGGGCTTGCGCGATGCCGATAGTGCGTGGCTGCTTACTGCCGAGGGCTCTGCTCACCCGGTGCGTTTCGTGGGACAACGGCCCTGGGGTGCCCCTCGCGGTGTGCGCTTTGCCGAGATGTTTTCTGTCTGGGCTGACTGGGTGCGCGATGGTGTCTGGGAGGTTAGCATTGAGGGGGTTGCTACGACGCATGCCTGGTTTACGGATCCCGCCACGGCTGAACTTCGAGAGTTGCAGTGGACGGAAACCTGCCGGTAGGGTGGCGTGGCGTGGCGTTGGGTTGGGTTGGGCTGGCTGGGGATCCGGGGGATGGGGCACTCATCTGTTAGGAAATATGGTACTGTTCACCTTCGTAGGTAAGGGGAAGAGGGATGAAATTCTTACCTGTACAGACTCTAGAAGTCTCAAGGGATGGGCTTTCGCCAAATACGGGGACTCAATAACTTCGTCAATATGGAACCGAGTCGGGATCTCCGGATAGATCATAGCTGATATGGCGCGGAGATCTGCTACCGTATCCCGATGTCCCGTGGAACAAAATCGCATGGTCTTTACATACATGGACTGGATCCCCATGTCCAGTATCATCTAGACAGCCCACGTGCAGTCTATTAAATTAAGAGAGTTATTTGCAGCAGCCTCAAAGCTATATTTTAAACATGGTTGAGACGACGTGGCTTTGATACCTACATGTATTTTTCTCGGCCATTTGCTTTTTGTTAGCATCTAGTAAAATAGCTTCAGAACACATTGTATCTTGATAAATACTTATACGACGCTGGATGCCTGTCTAAAAGTGTACCCGGCTTTATAATTATTTCCAACACGTACACCGATAGATGTTTCCACCACCCACCGAAGCACTATGATCCTGACATTGCCCCGGAAGTTTATTGAATCAGCCGAGTATAAGAATCTGTGCTCTTATTTTATTCGCTAGCTCTTGGCAGTATCTCGCTACCTATACTCTTAACGTAGATTGGGGGTGCGATAAAAGTGGTGGTGTACGGAGTCGGGAGTACACAATGATGTAGGTGGGAAGTCTAGTGTCATCAAAGGCTTCATTTAAACCGCCAAAACTATTGCGAAAAGACCAAGAAACTTGGGGTAAAATGGCCTCATTTCGATTGGATGATTTTTGTACCTTTTTTTTTTTTTTTGGTGTGAGTGGGTGTGGGAATTGTGGAAAGGACGGTGTTGGGTTTGGGTGTGAGGCGTCGGGTGAGATAACACCAGAACATCCATCATCAAAAGGATCGCCAAACATGGGAAATAAGGGAAAAAGTATAAATAGGGAGGCCCCCCGCTCCCTTAGACCCTATGGATCCCTCAAGTTGAACTGGAAACAAATTGGAGCGGAAAAGCCTGTCGATTGTTCATCTCTATCTATCAGCGACTCTTTAAAACTTGGGTCGAGTTTCCGGAGCTGTTGAAGAGGCCAAGGTCCGAAAGGCAACATGCCGAGTCTCCACTATTTCTGTAAGGCAAACAGAACGATAACCTGAACTCTAAACCACTGAACTGCAGAAGGCCGGAAGGGGCGCATGACCCACTTTATTTTCCGGGAATCCAACAGCCGTGAACTACCTACCTACCGGTACCTACCCGGCTAACGCCCCGACCTTTATCGACCACACCAGCCACGCCAGAGATATCACCCAGACATAAGCCACAACATCCATTGGTGTGTGGCTTATCAGTCGTGTTTGGCTCGTTCCCCGCGTCACCTCCGTTCTACGTGTTCCTGGCACGCGTCGACGTCGAGTGGATCCACTCTTAGAGTTCATCTCAACCGCTTTTGCGAAGTACCTAGTACACTACCTAAGGTACTCCGACTTCGTTGCCCTCCTACGTCACTCGCTGATAGGATAACGACCTGCAACGGCACCCATTTGCTTATTCAGATACACCATTTTAATCTGGTCTCGACCCCTTTATCTTTTATATCTTCTTGCCTTTTGGCTTTGTTTCTACCTCTTCCGACGACAAATACGGTGGTTTGACTAGTTCTCTTCCAAGGTACCTCTCTTGGGAGAAAGTCTTTCTTGCCCGTGTCAGTGGCCGTTAGGTGGCCCATGTCCCTTGCATTTGCATTCCTCATAAGGTACCTAACTTTTGTACTGTCACTTGGCTCCACCCACCCAGTCGCCAGGTGAACGCGCTCGGACGCGACTCCGAGGCGGCATATCACGAAAAAGAAGGAGCGGTACGCCGTACCTGCCTTGGTGCATACTTCGTGCTTTGTTCCTTCCCGCCTCCCGAATTCCAAACGCTTTTACCCTCGTACCACTCGTACCACCGTACCTTTCGTACTTTCTTCACCTCATCCATCTTGGAAACTCTTCTCGGCACCTGTCATTTGCCTGCGTTCTTCTTCTCTCACAAACGATTCTTGACTCTCAATCTCGAATATCTCCCTCCTCTTTCTCTTCCCCAACCACGCCTCGTCTCATTGTCATGGTGCCGGATGCAATCCATCTTCTCCCTCTTCCTTCATAGACCCTATCTTGCTCTCCGTCCCTCCCTCCGTCCCTCCTCTTTCTCTAGACTCTCTAGACCACCTCTTCTCTCGATATCCGACACCACACCATCACCAAGCATCCGGCATAACCGCAACGTATCGTCGTCACTGCCCATCACTTCATTTCCTCGCCTTTCTTTTTGCTGGCGACCGTGGCTTGCAGGTTGCCGTTCTCCATCTTCGCCTCTGCCCACCATGGCGTCTCCTGTGCCCATGCCGTCCATGGGCCATTGGGGCGCCAATGGGCATCAGCAACTCTCGGAGTTTCAGCAGCAACATAATTCACAAAATGAGCAGCCTCATACATCCTACCAGCAGCCGTCTCAATCACATCCTCAACCTCAACCGCAACAGCCGCCACAGCAACAGCCGCCGCAGCAACAGCAACAGCCACAGCAACAACAACAACCAGGCGAAGATGGTCCTCAATTGAAGCTTATGGGGCGTACGACTACCCCTTCCTCACTTCTCACTTCTTTCTCCCTTGCCCCAACTGCCCCAATCGTGTTTCAAGCCCCAGTATCTCATCAGAATGATGGGCCATGGGCCGTGGCTGACCATTTCCTCCCACAGTCAAAGTCAACTACACCATCGATACCGATACCCAGGCCAATTATCTAGCCCGCCATCCTCGACCTTTAAATGTCCAGACCATCTCCATAGACCAGACCAACCAGATTGGCCTCGTTGACCTCAAAGCGTGTGTCCGATGCATCGCGAACTGCAGCCCCGAGCTTCTCTCCCACCCAGGCGACTACACCATATACGCCTACGACTTCTCCGAGCCCGAAATCCCACTCGTCGGTCAGGGTATGCTCTCCTCCGTCCTCGACGCCGACTCTTCCGACTCCAAATTCGTCGTCGGCCGCGTCACCAAGAACATGTTGGCCGTCTTGGGTGGTGGTCTCAAGGAAACCCTCGAGACCAGGTTCAGGTTGCTCTCCACCCTTAGAATCCCGAAACCCGAGTCGAATTCGAACTCGACCTACAACTCGAATGCAACTCCCAACCCGAACTACCGCCCCGAGTTTGGCCGCTCCGAAAGCCAACTGAGTGTCGACCTTCCTCCCTCACACAACCAAGGCCCCGAGCGGGCCATGACACCCACAGGGACTGCCGAATGGAATTCCTTCTTGCAGTCGAACCCTCAACTGGGCCACCAAGGCCCGACTAGCCATATTCCCCCTTCCGCACCTGCTCCTTCACAAAACCGCGCCGAGTTTCCACACCCCCTTCAACCTCGCCGTGACTCCTTCGGCCACCCTGGCTCGTCGGCTCAAATCCCTCCTCCCGCCCCACCTGCCAGCACCAGCACCGCCGCTAGTGCCGGTGCCCCTGACTGCCTCACCAGGATTGCACCGACACCCGTGGGTCCGGCCGAAACTGCAATGGACTCTGCTGCCAACCCCCCTTCACGCCCTTCATCGAGAGCCTCGAACAAGTCACGCAAGAAGGCGCCCAGCGGCCGGCCACGGGGTCGTCCAAGGAAAAATGCCGCCCCCGACATGCCCGGTAGTACGTCTGGCTACGAGGATGGAACTGATGCAGAGGAGGGGCTCCCCAAGAAGAAGAGGGCAAGGATCTCCAAGGTCGTCAAGAATATCAACACCCCTTTCGGGGGCGGTCCCGATTTGCTACGCGTGGCTGCTAGCACTTCTGGCTCCCTCCGTAGCCTCCGGCCTGCTGGTCCTATGGGCGAGGCGCCACAAGGCAACCACCTGCAGGAGGTTCCTAGAGCCCCCACGCCTGTCCCCGACGGAAGAGGAGCCCCGGCGAGGGGATCGTTTGGGATGAGAGACGCGCGCACCGAGATCCGTCGACTGTCTACCCTCAACCAGACAGCAAACCCAGCGGAACAGTCTACTTATTGCGACGCCATATCCCCGCCTAGCCAGGATGGTCGTTCGCCCGACTCGGACGCCGTGACGCCCATGATGTACTCGGATGACAGCGCTGCTCTGATCGGGTCGTCTCCCCCGGTCCCGCGGATAGCGCCCTACATCCGGTCAAGTCCTCCCCCTTCTAGTCCCATCCTACCCCCCATGCCGAAGCCGCAGTCGCAGCCAGATTCTGGCTTCATGAGCGGTGGCATAGACGATGTGACCGAGGAGCCGTTGAGATCAGTTCAGCCAGCACCAGCACCAGCACCAGCACCTGTAACCGCACCAGCACCTGTAACCGCACCCGCACCCCCACCTGCACCTGCTCCCAAGAGGAAAAGGTCTCGATCTCGCGACACGTCTCACATTCCTATCCAAATCTTCGAGCTCCGACAAAGTCAAGGTCTCTCCAGCGATGTCGAGATGGTTCCGTACGGTAGTTCAGGTCCGCGGGCCCCGACCTCTGCCCCCGGTTACTTTCGTCCACTTCCTCCTGCATTGGAGCGATCCCAAAGCGATAATATGCGAGCCGCCTTGCCTCCTCGCCCTCCTCCTCCTCCTGCCGCCCTTCCGTCACCAGTTCCTCCTCCCCCAGCACAAGAGAAAAACGAGTCCCCGTCGCAGCCAAGGGGGCCAGCTACGGCGGGAGAGGGGGACGTGCAAATGTTGGATAGAGGTGCTCCAGCGGAAGAGCAGCGGTCAGTGGAATTTCGGGAGGGAAGTGGCTACGCTGGTCCCGTCAATGGCGAGACCACCGTCGCTTCGAATGCCCAGTCGGAGGATGTGCCAGTTGAAACAATTGAGAAGGTCGAGGATCAGGAGGGTCAGGAGATTCTCCGACGTCTACGCATGGTCGTCGGAGAGGAGTCGACCCCTTCCGGAACAGCAACACGCGAGAACGATTCCGAATCGTCATTTACCCTACCGCCCGCCCCTCTGCCAGCCGCAACTACATCCCAACAGCCCGGGCCGCTGTCCCAGTCAACGCCGTCCACATTCCGGCCGCTAACCCTTCCGCCCATCCCCGCGAGCGATCCGATCGGGTCCCTGGCGCTCCCTCCGATGCCGTCCCAAGAAGCTACGTCCTTCTCGGAGGCCATCTGTCCACCAAGCGATGCGCCGCAACCGTCCAAGTCGCCGCAGCCGGGACCCAAAGCAAGCAAGAACTACGTTAAAAAGGCGTCGATTCGGCAGAAACTTGAGGAGGCTATCAGGAATGGCGAGATGCCCCCGTATTGCGGTAACTGTGGCGCCATTGAGACGCCGACGTGGAGGAAAGTGTGGACACAAGACGTGGTCGGCAGCCCGGAATTCTGCGAGTTCTCCGAGAAGCCAGGCAGGATCACGGCCATCATCGTACTGGAGCGGGACGACGAGGACAAGATCACCAAGTACCAGATGATCAAGAAGAGCCTTGGTCTGAATGAAGACAAGGCGGAGTGGACCGATACGATTCTCTGCAACCCCTGCGGTATCTGGCTGGCGAAGTGGAAATGTCAACGACCCGCTACGCAGTGGGACAAGGACCAGAACCGTCTTCAACGATCGCGGCACCGCAGAGGGACCAGTAGTACGGGACGAAAATCGCGATCTCGCTCGAAGAAGGCGGGCTCAGCGGACGCGCAAAGGCCTGTTGCCGCATCGGAAGCCAATGTTCCTCAGACGGACCCTATCGGGCCTGCAGATGGCCAACATGGGCACCCCCACGACGAAACCGGAAGCCACTCGGGAAGCCAATGGGCAAACCAGTCGTTCGCACTGACGGAACAGAGCGGAGTAAGCGGTTCGCGTTCTAGAGAGGCGTCGCTAGCTCTGGAAAAAGTTCTGCTGCAGATTGATTCCCAGCCGCCTTCGCGGGAGCACCGCTCCGGGCCCGGCTCGACTCACTCGAGAGGGAGCGGTACGGCCAAGAGCCCCATCAACCTGGAGGACGCGGACCACGACCACGATATGCCTGATATGGGCAGCACACGTCGGCTCTTGTTTCCTTCGCCCCGCAAGGATGGCGTACCCAAGGTGCTGAACGACGTGGCCATCAATATCGTACAGACGACGGAGAACCAGCGGGGACTCAAGGAGGCGATGCCGGAGAAGGAGAACGTGGACATCAGCACCAAAGACGCAGATGGAACTGCCCTCGCTGACGATGAGGATCTCGAGGCCCTCTTCCGCAGTCCGATGGCCCGGCCTTCTACCCCTCCACCAAAGTCGAAGAACCCGAACCAAGGTCCGTTCAAGACTCCGACGCGGCCAACGCCTAGCCACCGACCGATTACTAGGAGTATATCGCGCTCGATTCAGTCTAAGCGGTCCGCCAAGTCGCCAGGCCAGGCAGCCATACAGCGAACGCCCACGAGGACACCGCGGTCTGCGCTCCGTCTCCCATTAACCGAGAGCCCGACGCTGCGCAGGAGCCCTCGATTCCAGCACGACGAGGATAACAACCTCCTCGAGACGCCCATGACTAGGAGCATCAACCAACTTCTCTCCGAAGCACACGACTTTGACGTGGGTGCCAACTTCGACCTTGACTTGACCCACTTTACTTCATTCGACGACGATGGCCAGAATATGCTCGATTTGGGCCATTTACTCGACACGGACGCGGCACTGCCTAGATCGTCGCCACGACGGCGCGATCAGGAGGCCCTCCCATATGACGAGGCGATCTGGAGTCAATGGAGTGAGGCCGGTAACCAGGAAGACGAGAAGGAGTAATCCAAGGCGGCTCACATTCTTTTGACATGCCTGCACCATAGCAAGGGTTGTACAAATACGAATATCGCGAATGCATTACGACTACACATGTTGCATCTGGGTCATGGCTGGATAAGGATTTCACTGCCTGATCTATTAGGTACATGTTTGGGTATTCCCTGTTTGTCAAGACACCTTATCCAATCCAAACGGAATAGGTGGCTGGCATCAATGGGGGTTTCTATTTTTTGTATGATTTTTTTTCCCCTTCGCGTTTTAGGTCTGTCACTTGCGGCGGCCTGACGTGGCCGTCGATGGATATGGGATATGCGTGGCGTTGGAGGTGTTCATTTTAGCCGTGGACATTTCTTGTTCGTTTGAGCTGGGTTTATAAACAGCGTCTTGCTTTACACTGCGTTTGGGCGGAAAAGGGCAGCTTGTCTATGTTACAGTCCGCATGGGTACATGTATGCTTGGCCATGCCATTCATGTCTTCTGGGCTCAGGTCTGGCGTTGCCAGGCCAAAATCCGATTCTACCTTACTAGCTAAGGCATCTCCATATGTATCCGGTGACATGTGTGACACGCCTGACCCATCTCTTGCCTGATTGTGCTGTTTTCATGAGTAGTGGCTTTTTGTGTAAAATAGATGGATGCCATGAGATTTGGCGACGTTCACAGTAAATCCGGAGTTGTGACACGGGAGGTGATAATCAAGTCGGCACTCACTATAACCGCAGCGTGGACGTCGTAATGGGGCAGATTAATTCCTTGTTCTACATGAGCAATTCTATATTCCAGGTCCCAACTAGAACCAACAACCGCGCATTTTGTGAGATGGCGCGGTTCAATGTAGGCGTTACACAATACAGATGATATATTCTACAAGTACATTCCCAGGCGCTGAAGGAAGCCGGGGGGTGTTTTGTCTCCGTTCGCCTCCCCCCACATCACTCTGCTCCAAGCCGTCAGGGATAACGACCATGATCGCTGGAAAGAGGGAGGCGGCGTTGCTCCCATAAGCATGAGCTTCCCTCCCACCGACCGACTCGTACAGATAGTTCCGACATGAGAGACCAATGCCATGCATGTCTCCCTAACCTCTCCTGCCGCCGCCGTCGCCGCGCTTCTTGATGATCCAGCCCTTGGCGTTGGACAAGCCGCGGATTCGCTTGGTATACTTCCAAAGATGGCGGTACTTGGGGCCCTGGCGCTTGGCCTCCCAGCCGCGCAGGGGCTTGGGCGGCTTGAGCGAGCGGACGCGGGTAGGGCGGAGCTCGACGTCGGCGCCGGGGACGCCGGCGCGGCGCATGACGTCGGCGGTGGTTTCGTCCCAGGCGGCGCGGAAGAGGGTGAACCCGGCGGGGCGGAGGCCGAACTTGTCGCGGAGGGACTTGAGGGAGAAGTTGTGCTCCGGGGTCTTGTTGGCGGCGTAGAGGCTCCGTAGCTTCGCGACGTCGAGGGGGCGGCCGTCGGGCTGGTCGAGGACGAAGATGGCGAGGCGGTGGTAGGGGGACCCTTTTTGGGCGAAGGCGGGGAGGTAGGGGACGGCGACGTGGTCGGCGTCGGGGAGGCGGGAGAGGGCGAGGGCGGGGTTGGTGGGCGACAGGGGGATGTTGGCGGCGAGGTAGTGGCAGCGCTTGGTGAAGCCGTCGGCGGCGACGTTGGGGACGTCCGGGTCGAGGATGACGATGGTGACGAGGCGGTCGCCGGCGTCGAAGGGCTGGATGCGCAGGCGCGGGGGCACCTCGGTGATGTCGCTGGGGAGGAGCTTGCCGGCGGGGACCTTGGCGCGGCGGAAGAAGAGCTGGACGTCGTATTGGGGGGAGAAGGTGGGGAGGATGTCCGGGGTGATGTGGAACTGGGAGATGCGCTGCTCGATGATCTTGCGCTCGTAGGCTTCCCAGCGGCGTTGGGCGAGGTAGCGGTAGATGGGTTTGTTCATGTCGCCTGCACGTTTTTTCGTTTCACGTCCCGTTAGCCCCAGTTGTACCAGTTGTAAAATATCAAGAGGAGATGGAGAAGAAGAAACGGGAAAGAAAGGGGGAAGACTTTGAAAAGGAGCAAATAGGGAAGGAGAGAGAGGGTATTTACCAAGTCCGTCCTCAAACCTCCTCTTGATGCAAGGATCGTTAATGTCGGCTTGAATCTTCAACCACTCAATGTGCTGACGCAAACTCTGCAGCTTCATCTCGCGCTTCTTCTCTCCACCCTTGAAGAGCGAAGCGTCCGCCTCTCGTATTTTCCGCATCTTCTCCACCTCGGCCTTGATGGCGGCAATCTTCTCTTCCCTGTCTTCGGCCAGCAACTTCCGGGCCTCCTGGAAGGCCTGGTAGGGGAGCTGCTCGAAGGGGATGTTCTGCGACGTGCGGATGGCGTAGCGGCGACGGCGACTGCCTATGGGCGGGGTGCCGGCCTTCCAGAGGTCCTTCTCGGCCCACGGATGGACGGCGGTGTTCGGGTCCAGCTCGACGGGGTCGACCTCGCCTTCGGGCCGCTCGCGGACGACTTTGTAGACTTGGGCGGATGCAGGGGAGGAAGTGGTGAAGGGCCGGAGAGGTGCGGCATCTTGCCGAAGCAGGCGCTGCGCCAGTGGCCTTCCGACCTGGCGACAGGATGACATGATGCCGGGAAAGAGGAGGGGGGGTTTGGGAGGCCAATTGAAGGCTCGATTGGCGATCCCCTGGGAGGTGGTGAAAATTAAACGTCGTCTCTGGTCGGAGATTCGGGGGGTTTGGTTTCTCTTTGGGGAGAGGCGAAATTTGAAAAGCAGCACACGCGACTTGACGGGTCTCCACTAAAGCTGTCGACTAGCATACGTACTATTGGTCCAGTACTACGGAGCCGTATAAATAATTAACCCGTAATCACAATGTGCTTAGTCAGGATTCGAGCATCCGCCAAATTTTTGGTCTCGGGAAAGAAAGTGAAGGGAAGAGAGCATTTTTAAATGATCAAGTCGATTGTCGTCGCTTCACCAACCAACAATCAACAGCCCTCTGTCCAGTTTCAGTAGGCTGGCCACCCGATCCAGGTAATTCGATACTCCGGCCAATTGAGACAACCAACTGTCATCTCAACCATGGCCGGACAGGGCATTCGGGGTCTCAGTGACGCCATGAAGGGCCTGAGCCTCTCCGCGAATGCAGCCGGCAGCGTCTTCACCAGATGCATGGCCACCGCCGCACCAATACCGCCCATTATGACTACCCTCAAGTCTTCCTCGTCCAAGATATCCTCCGAGCCCTGGACACCAGGTACGCACACCCTTGATCTTTCGTCGTCTCTTTTTCGTCATCTCGTCCCATCTCAACTACAAAGCAAGATACCCTCACTAACGCATGGCCCATGGTCTCCAGTGTCAACCGTCCCCGTCACCATCCACGCCTTCCCCACGCTCGCCCCCCGCTCCCTCGAATCCTACTCGACCAAGCACCTCTACCTCCCCCTCCGCCGCGACCTCCTCCACCTGGCCGTCATCTACGAAGCCGACGCGACGCGGCAGGGCACCGCCTCGACCAAGACGCGCTGGGAAGTCGCCGGCTCGCACCGCAAAGTGCACCGGCAGAAAGGCACGGGCAAAGCCCGCGTGGGGACCAAGCAGTCCCCCATCCGGGTCGGCGGCGGCGTGAGCCACGGGCCCAAGCCGCGCGACTTCTCCACGCGGCTGAACCGCAAAGTCTACGACGTGGCCTGGCGCACGGCCCTCAGCTACCGCTACCGCCGCGGCGAGCTGCTCGTGTGCGAGGACGGCATGGACCTGGCCCTGCCGCGCGACTTCACCACCTTGCTGCGGGGCGGCTTCGTCGCCGACGAGCTGGCGGCTTCGTATCGCCGGAAATGGGCCGAGCAAATCCTCTTCGCGAACCAGTGGGGGAAGCCCGATGGGCGGACTTTGTTCGTTACCGGGTCGCGCCGCCCGGGGCTGTTCGACTGCATGCATGATGCCGGTATGCATGGCCGCTGCCTCGAGGTGTCGGATGTGGATGTGAAGGATCTGCTGGAGGAGGGCCGCGTGGTGGTGGAGAGGGCCGCGCTGCGGGAGATGTTGGAGAACCACCAGAGCGACCTGGTGAGCAAGATCTTCATCAATGGCCTGTCGCGCAGTGGGCCGCCTATTGGGGAGCCTCTGGTTGCCTGAGTTCTTCCGTCTTTCTGTACATGATTACGGGGATATCGACGTTGGGGAGTGATGTACGTTCGGAAGAGGAGGGACCGAAAGGGACGGACGGGGGAGTGTGGGTGTCACTTCCCCTCGCTTTGTTAAGACACGTACCGTACCGGTCTTCTTTTCAGCATACACACATGTTGTAACAATATTGGACGGAGACGGGCTTGTCGTTGTTGGGGGTGGTGAGCTCGGAGGATATCAATTACCTTAGGTAAGGTAGGGTGCTGTGTTGAGCTGTACATGTACTTGTAGGAACAAGAAGAGCTCGTGCCAACTTGTACTGCGCTTCACTGTAGGTGTGCGTCTCATGAATGTATAGGTACTCGCACACGATTGAGCTTCTTGACTGGAACATACCTAGGTACGGTAGCCCCTGGCGATGAGCTCCTTTCACTGTCGTAGGGAGAAACAACGGCTGTACCTATATTACATAAGGTAGGGTGGCCAGCGTGACTAATCCACTGACCCTGGCGAGGGACTCCGTCATTGTACCTATCCTCCAAACGTCGATTTGTCGATGGTCGTAGAGCCACACGATCCCCGATGGTCGTCCACTCTCACGGGGATCGAGACGGCGGTAAGAACACGCATACCTACCTATCTGCTCAGTACACCAATACAAAGATGCTTAAATTAGGTATTCGGCGGCTTTGGGACTGCGATTCTCAGATTCTACTTTGCACCTATGGATCGAACGTTGCCCTCTTTTTCTTTAATTTCTCTTCTTCTTCCCATTATCCATAGTCCAGTCGTGCGGATCCGGACTTTACTCCGTTCTTCTCCCTCGATTCTCCTCCAAAGACCGTCTCTCCCAATCATATTCTACATCACGAAGCATCCAGACATGGGAAACGACTGTTCACGTGAGCAAAGTTCGTCTATTCTCTTCTTCTTCGCCAAACCCGACACCCCTGGTTAGTGGGCGTCGTGGTCAAACTCAATAGCAACGACCCTCGTCTTAGAGGAGAGGTGAGCTGGGCCCCCTTTTCCTTTTCCTTTTCTTTTCCATTGTTTTTTCCTCTCTCCCTTTCTTCCCCTATTTTTTTTCTTTTTTTTTTCTTGGCTTTCTTCGTTTTCCTTCGTCGGCTTGCCGTCTTTCCATGGCAAAAAGTCCCACTTCTGTGGTTGAGTCCACAGACTTCTTGATATATTGATGGGCATAATGATACCCAAGTGAGATTTCGCAAGGCGACTCTCAATAGGACAAAAACATCCTACTCAACACATATTCGCCGTCTTGTCCCACGAGCCCGAAATCGCCGTGGCTCTGATAATATGTTCCTTTTTCACGCCTCGCGCCTCGCGCCTCAACGCCGACCAACCAGTGACTCCCGAGCTTCTCTTCTCCGCCCTGTTCGTCGAAATCGTAATCCGTGAGAATATGACTTTCAGGGTCCAGTTGGCCTATGATTCCGAAACGCCCCCACCACAAATCTGCTTGAAACCAAGCGACCTGTGCCCGTCGGGGGGGGGAAAGGGGGGGGGGGTTCGTTGACATGTAAAATTGCAGCACACTCCGTCGTCCTTCTCGCTCTTGCCATCATGGACCGTCGCCGGTCCTCGGGGGGAGACCAAAGATGGTGTCGGGCATATGGTCATAGTTGATATCTCCCGTGCTCCCCGCTCTCGTCGGTATACTTCCGGCGTGGCTGGCAGCAACAGGCGACGGCGACATCATCATAGCTTTTGCGCGGCAGGATTCTCGTCAGCCGCAAGGAACCCCCAAAGGAAAGGGCGCCGATCACCATCCGCCACAACCCGTTCTCCCCGTTCCCCCATCGAAACATCTCCCTTCGCTGCCCGACATTTCTTTCTTGATCACGTACCGTCAAAGGAATGGCGCGTCGACGCCACTGACGGTGGACGCATGTCGGCAATCCCCGAGTACCCGGCAGCGCTGGCCTGCGCATGGCCGTATCGTTCGGCGGCCTTCTGGACGAACCGCTTCGCCTCGTTATCCAGCCACTGGTCGATGTTGGGATCGTTACAGTGCGCGTGGGAGATGAGCTCGTTCTTCATGCGGCTGACCTCGTCCAGCAGCCCGTTGTACTCCCGCTGAAGCTGCAAGTGCTGGTTCTCGAGCCCCGTCTTCGTCTCTTGTAATTCCGAAACCCACTCCTTTTTCTTCTTGCGGCACTTACTGGCCGCCATGCGATTCCTCTCCAGCACTTTCTGTCGTTTCGGGTGGTCGTCTGCGACTTGTTGTGAAGAACTGGCCCCGCTTTCCCTCTTGCTCTGCTTCTTCCGTGGCGGGTGGTGGTCGCATGGCGGCTCGGTTGATTCGCTCGACCGAGACCTATGAGTATGGGAAAAGGTGCTGGAACCTGACCCAGAACCTGAGGCGAAAACTGAGCCGGAGCCGGCGCTGTGCGGTGTTTCGGAAGTCGGCCTTGGTGGGCGCGTACTACCGCTGGGTGCAGCCGGCATATTCATCCCCCTGTCCTCAACCATCGAGTTGTAACCAATACCATACCAGTGACCGTCGACCGAACCATCGGCCAAACTTGGCTGTTGTGTCGGCCATGAAGAAGTCATTGTCAAATCCGAGAAGTCCTGCGGCATTCCGCCCGTGGGCTGGTTATACAGCACCATGTATGGGGCGCCTCCGCCTTGTCGGGCGGTAATCTGCGGGTGGTTTCCGGCCCTCGGCGGTGTCGGGAGGATGGCAAATCGAATCTCCAGGGGAAGAAAAAAAAAAGGAAGAAGAAGAAGGGAAAGGGGAGAGACGACGATGAATTCAGATATCCGTCACAAAGTAGTGACGGCTCTTCCTGGTCGGCTAAGGTAGTCGATGTGTGTCGAGTCAATTTCCTATTCTGGATCGTTTGTGCTTCACGATCTTACGAAACGAGCGGTGTTTCTCTGATTGGTTCGATCTGTTGTGGTTGGACAAGGCTCTGACCGGCAGTGACCGAGTTGAGGGAAGAGATACGGGTATCTTGAGCGTTCAAATTGAATATTCGTCGGGGCCAGTCGCCGTCGTCTGTTCAGAAGTCAAGAAAGCTGCGCAAGTGTACTCGAGATTTGGATAGATTCGAAAGCGTGGTGGATGAAAGCTGTGCAGATGCGATGAGTCGTTGTTTCTTTCCCCGCGAATGCATATACAGAGGATACAGACAAGGCAAAATACGGGCGTGTTGTAAAAGGGAGATGTGTAGTTGAAAGTTCAACGATACACGACCCACTGCTCAGATGCGGGCAGCAGCGCAGCAGTCTTCGACTATCCGTTGTCGAGTTCTCTCCCACCGATAGTCGCAAAATGCTGCCAAGAACGCGCCAGGGTTTGGGTGTGCGAATAGGTATGTCTGTGTCTTGTCTTTCTGTCTTCCTCTCTGTATCTCTCTCTCTGTGTGTGTGGAGTTGTGGTGCTGGCACTAGTCGATGGGGCTACTATTCCGCACAGGTCAATGGGTGCAAGGCGCAGGACGCAGCATTGGCAACCGGAATAGGGCGGCTGGGCGTTTCTTAGGCCAAGTTCAACAGACAGTAGCGACCTCGCTCTGTTCTGCCCTTCGCCCAGGGCAAAAAAAAGACGGTCGATTAGCGGCTCGACAACAGGGTCTTCCGGGGTGACTGGCCATCTCGAACGCCATGGTTCAACGGTTAGCGAGCTGCGGTCGTGTCTTTCTTTTTCTTTTCTTTTTTCTGCAACGAAAGAGACGGTGAATTGAGAAACCCGGGCAGACGAGGAGTACGAGTATCCGTACTTTGGTACGGATACAGGATGGGGACTGTTCTGGTTCTGGTGGATAGTAGGGGAGCTATAGCCGCGAGCTAAGCGGAACGGGGGAGGCGGGTAAGCAAATCCCGATGATAGCAGAGGTAGAATACGATCCTCAAGGGAGGCAATGACGTAGGAGGGACGGAGGGGACGGGGCCCGGGGAGACGGAGCATTGAGCGCAGTGGGCCAATGTCCATGATGTACAGGGGAGGTACAGGAATGGCCCGTGGGTGAGGTAGCGCTAACTACCTCCCACTGCCCTGTTGTCTTGCTGCCTTGGCTGCCCTCGCTGCCGGAAGGAGGCTCCATCAGCCCCGCGGGGAAAGGGGGGGGGGGGGGGGGGGGGGGGGGGGGGGGGGGGGGGGGGGGGGGGGGGGACAAGGGAATAGGAGGGTTGGAACGCGGAAGCACAGAGAGCATGGACTCATGGAGCATGGTAGACAGTTGGCTGTTGGTAAGGATCGCGAGATGGGGAATGGGAGGATGAGGAAGTGGGCGACAGAGAGACTGATACGAGCATCAGAGATATCCTGAATCAGGCACGCACCTAAATTAATTGTCCCGCCAAAGAGGGTTCCAGACACTTTTGACTGCGTGGAATGATGACGAGCGTGGGTGTATGAATAGATTCAAGAAACTATCTTTGTATTTTGTTCGTGTTGGCGGGATGAGGTGGTTGAATAGGGATCACGCACAGAACGATTCAAAAGACGAAGTATGTATGGATTATACAGGAGTGGCAGAAGGGATGGTGAAGCGATGAGTGTAAGATGGTGACGGGAACAAAATGGGAAGGGGCGACGTCCGGGGTAGGGACGATTGAAGGGGACAAGATCTTGTCTCAACTTTCGAAGTATTCGCACGAATACTGCGTAGGGTACCAGAAAGACCGCCTCCTGGGCTGTTAGAATCCTCATATGCGTGCGGCAAACATATGTACCTATGTACTTCGTACATACAGGCGTGGTGTTGGAGTGTCGGTTGGACAAGGGGTCGGAAATGACGGGAGACAACAGCAGCTGTACGAAAACCAAGGCACGAAGCGGGGGGGGGAGGGAAGGAATAAGGTACATAGGTATGGAGATTTACTGTAGGTAAGGTACGTTGTAAGGTTGCTAGCTCGTTAAGGTAGCTCAGGGAGGAGATGAAATGGTAGCTTTATTACAGAGTAAATGGGTACAGGCCGGGAGTCGAGGATAAGGTAGGTAGAAAGATAACAATTTAGGGTCCCCGACACACCCACAGGTATTTGCCATTGCCGGAAGAATGGGCAATGCAGATGCCCATGGCCTTTGGCATAGCAGGTGGACGAATGGAAGAGTGGAACGAGGAGAGAATGCTCCGGAGACCCATACTTGTTCTCCACTTCGGACCCCGTTTTGTTTCGCCCAGATCTGTCATGGTCCACGAGCACGAAGTACTTTTCTAAGGTACTTTACCTTAGGTACTTAGGTACGATAGGAGGTAGCGACGACGGAGTGGCGTGGCAGCAGCAGCTCTCTGATAAACCGTTCACACAACATCCGTGTATCCCGGGTTAACGAAGTCGATATACGGAGCAAGGTAAAATAGCCCCAATAATTATCAGGTCGTTGAGTACAAAAATAGGAATATTTCGCTTCTCTTAAAAAGGCTTCAACTCGTCTATAGGTACGCATATGAAGCAAATAAGGTACTTACCTATCCGTGTGCGTCTCTTCGACCAAGCTAGGTCGGTTCAATCGAAAAGTACAAGGCCCAAAATTTAGACATATTCTGTGCCCTGTTCTGTGAGTTGCCAGTAATTACCTGGTGCACCAAACGGGATAGGGCTTGGCGTATAGAGTATATCCTAGGTCTACCTTGTCTCCGTCTCAGACGGAAAGGGAAAGTATTGCGTTACCGGACAGACTTCGCACGAAGTGACTTTTGTACACCGCTGAAGGGCAGTACAAAGCACGAAGTACACGTGTACAAGTTTCAGTGTTCGACGGCTTCTAACTCTGTTGCGATGGAGCTTGATGTATCCGTATCGACGTCCCACAAAGTACTCCATACGAACGTGTCTTTCCATCGAGGTTACATGTTATTCGAACTTCGAACCTCTTCCCAGATCTGCGGAACACTTATCAAGACGAAGGGAGTGTTAACCGAGATGAACATTTCCCGTCACCCGCGCACCCATTCTCGTCCAGTTAGGTCGCAAAGCACGTGGCCCATTAAGTACGATACGGATACTTTCGTACCCCCACAATCCGAGAGACCCCTCGTCTTTTCTGTTTCGATGTTCTGGGCATTTTGCTTTTCCCGGTAGTTGCAGGCCAGAAGGAAATGTCTTGCCAAGGTATATAGATAATGACATGCGCGGAATTCGTGCGAAGTAGACGGGTACCAACTCATGAATTGGGAGCTGGAGTCCTTAAGGTACACGTATATTAGCTTACAAAGTACCTTAGAATCGTGTGCCTTGCATCAGGGGAGCACTCTGTCCGGAGTACACTACTTTTCGATTCCCGTTTTTGTGACGTTTCGCGCCCTTTCATATGTAATTGCCTTATTGAAAATAAGGTACGGATACAGAATAACCTGCGTCCCTGCTTTAGTTCTGCGTAATTACTCCGTATTTTACTCCGTAGGTAAGATAAGGTATGCTTCGACACAGATTACTAAGGTACCTGGTACATGTTCGTGCACACAGTCCATTACCTTACACGGATAAAGCTCGGCCGGGATTGGTTGAATTGTTCAGCTCAACTTCCCTGTCGGGTTCACCGAGCACCGAAAAGAGTCCTGCCGCATCTCGTTGTTCTTGGCCGATTCTTCGAATGGATATGTATTATGGAGTATGGATAATATTTGCTCAGTATGTACGGATACCTACCTTACGAAGTAGAATGAGTTGAAGACTTTACAGCGTACGGAGTACAGGAAAGTAAGTACAGTAAGTACAAGACTGTACGGTCTAGGTCAGGTCAGGTGACAACGCGCTCCGCACAGGCCGCCGAAATGGATGCGGGGCTGCCCAACGGCCAAACGCGTCTCACACTTTTTGATTTTCCTCTCAACTCGATCATCAATCAGTCTGTACGCCATCCCCAGATTGACAATTCCCGTCCTACGTTTCACAGTCCCCGAACCACACCTCTCGTTGAGATTCCGTCATTCTTAGCCGCGACGGATAATAAAAACGGACGCACATCTCTCTCATATTGTCACCGTCGCCTGCCTCACCATGGCCGAACCTACCTCAACCCCGCGTATCAACGCCCAATATCTCGACTCGTATGTCGGCCGCAATGTCACCATAGTCGGCAAAGTCACCCAGCTCCGAGGCGAGTCTGCTATCCTTGACGCCGATGGGCCCATTACTGCCATGCTTAATCGCGTGCGTGTCTTTCCTCCGACCCCTTCCCTTCCCTGGAGGCCTTGGACGCCCTGTGTTAACATTGCGTCCAGGACTCTCATCTGAGCAACGGAAATGCCGCCCAGATTATTGGCAAGGTGAACCCAGATCTGTCGATTAAGGTCCTGACCTCGAAGGATTTGGGTACTGGTGTCGGTAGGTTTTGATCTGAACACTGTCCTCCTTTCCCTCCCGGACCTTAGTCCGTCATGCCCAGCCTCTGGGGAAATTTCCCAGGCTGGCATGTACTGTCCCGTCCCCACGCCGGATCTCCCTAGCAAGTTCCAGAGAGAGCGCGACAGGATTCCTTCTCCTACTGCTCAATCGGTCTTCGTCTTTTAACGGCTCAATCCCATCTAGACCTCAAGCTTGCCTCCGCTGTCGTTGAGGCGACTCACAACTTCAAACCTCTCTTCGTGTACGAATCGACCAATTGACAACGTGCGCCCGGCCCTCATGACCCCGCCTCCCGAACCCTGCCCTCGTCAGGCCCCGTCCATCCTCAACATCCTGGACGGGTGTCCATGATGTGGCCGGCCGCCGAATCCCTCGTCTCGAATAACACAACACCCGAACCTCCTAGCCGGCGGGATTCTGAGGCTTCCAGTCTCTCCCCGTCTCCCATTGCACTTCCTGTCCGCCCTAAGGAGCCTAGCGAGCCTAGCGAGCCTGCCCAGCCTATACCTCCGCATTGGACAACGGGTTCACTCGCTGCCATTACGGGACATCACGGTCCATCACTATCATCATCCCCCACTGAATCTACAAATTATACCGCATCGGAAAAGAATTACGATATAGAGGAGAATCGGAGTTACGGAAGAGGAAAGCATAGGCAGAGCCATGCACGGTCCAGCCTTGATGGATCGTCGTATGGAGAGGTGGTGGTGGACGACTCGGAGTTGATGGGTGCCGTGTTGGACGGCATTGGACGGATCACGATCACCATGAGACTGGACTCTGGTGGCCGCTGGAGGATCCGACGGGAATCGAGTCATCTTGAGTGGTTTTAGTCGAGTCATCAGATTGCTCTAGGAGGTTCCGACCGAGCCCTTTCGCTTCATGTAGCTATACCCCGAACCCGTTCGCAGGTCCAACATCTTGTACCTTTCCCAATCCCTGGGACCCATGAATGGCTGCGTTGCGGATTACTTCAGTGAGGCAAGGTCAGAGAAGTAAGAAGAGCATGTCTGGCAGGCAACATGGGTCAAGAGCTCAAAGTGTGGCGGCGTCCTGACATGCGAGAGAAGGTTGCCGCGAGGAAGATATCGGGAGAAACGCGAAACAAAGCGGTCGGTTTGCCCGGTTACGGACCACTCACTCTGCGGCGACACCTCGCCTACGAGGCTCGAATGGCGACAACATGCTCTTCCATACGCCGTCAGGCGGCGATGCTTCGCAGCTCGGCCCCCTTCAACCGCTTGTTGTGACGGCAACACAATCGCAGAGGATGTATTCTCACGTCTACCATGATCGAAGGGTATCTTCATTTGACCTCGTTTGCCATTCACGTTCCCGATTCCTAGCAACTTCATTCATGCTGGTTTGGGGGGGGGGGGGGGGGTTTCCTTTTTTTCTTTTTTTAACCATGGCCGTGTCAGTCGATACAATTGTGGGATCCCCAGAACAAGGTGGTCTTGCACGCAGACCCGATGGAACACTTCGTTCCGCTGTGTTCGTTTCCGACTATACTCTCGCCGCCATTTTCGCTGATTCGAGGATGCATACGATTAGGCCATCGCAGGTACTCCGACTGTCGAAAGATGGAAAAGACAGAAGAAGAAAAAAGAGGGAAAGACAAAGACGTGGCTTTACGACTCGGGATATTTTCGGCAAATTTTCAACCTGCGGACAAATAAAGCGCGTCTTCAGTGCACATCGACAGGCTCCAGGTCGGGTCAATTCATGTTCGGATTTTTATTTGCCTCTTCTTCCTCTTCTACGCGACTACGACTTAATTACCTGTTCTACTATGGAGGATTGCGCGAGTTTCGTGGATATTCGTCATTCCGCACATGCATCGACCAAGGAGAGCCTATCCAGAATTATTCATCAGCCGGTGCTGCTGCTTTGTCGGCCTGCCCTCCTTTGGGACGTCGGAAGCTACCCACCGGGAAATTGCTGAGGGAAAACGTGGGGTGGGCGAGCGGGATCGGGAGAGGGAGACAGGGACCGAAGAACGACGGACCCCTGGCCGTCCTGTCTGTCCACTGTCACTGTCCACTGTCCACTGTCCGCAGCTCACCCGGTTTCCCTTCTTCGCTCGTCCCCCGACACCAAACGAATTGGATCGACAAAGTAGCTGGAAGCTGGGACGACGATCCTCCCTTTTTCAAGGAATCGATGGACAGCTGATCAAAGCTTGACTTCAATTTGTCTTGATTACCATTGAACATTTCATTGCAAGAACGGTAAGAGCTTCCACTGACCGGTAGTACGAACTTCGTACAACTCAAACTCAGTCGGGAGAGCTCAGAGGAATAATAGGACCTACACACATAGGATCTCTTGGCTATCGCCCCGCAAGATGTGCTCGGCTATATGCAAGAGGAAGGGGACGGGAACTAGGTAAGATCTGGCCCTCCCAGGTAAAATACGCCACTCACCAGCTCAGGGGTATCGGACCTACGGCTTGGTTTTCCGCATCATCGCATCTTCGTATGCGCAGCGATTACGCAGCACAACGTACCACCTACGAAAAACGACCCCTATGCGTCTTCTCACCCACACTGGGCATTGAGGGGTGACGGTCTTGGACTCTTGGGTGTCGATTAATCAATCTCCTAGCAGATCTCGTCATCTTTGGATGGACCGTCACCGGTTGTTCTTCGAGCTTCGAAAACATGCCACGCCCTGTCTACGGTGCTTCAATCTCCGAACGCTTGGCCGCCCTAAAAGCGGGCATCTATGGATACATCATACCCGTGCCACGCCCCACTTATATTAGTTCATTGGAACTCACCAGCCTAAGGTACATATAGCTGGTGAGTGCCAAACGAACGAGAGTAAGTGGGGCGTGGCACGGGTACCGCTTTCTCGCCAACCCAGCATGAAGGATTCATTATCATTTAATTTATCCAGCATTGTACCTCCCGCATACCGGGGCCGATGGGCCCAAGACGGAAACCGGGCCTGGCTGTGATGGCGAGTTGCGACACATCCGGCATATTAAGGCATTGCGCAGGCTGTCGGCTCTTGCTCCGAACCAAAAACGGCAACAAGAGGGTCACTGGTCAATGGCGTAGGCTTGGGTTGCATCTGTGCCTGGCGCGACATCCGTGGTTAATCCACACCTGGGGGGGGTTCCGTCGATTGATATATAGAGACGGTGCTCGTCCCTCTTCCTCTGCTGCTCGACCTAGGAAGACCGTCAGGACTCCGGACTCAAGCATTTCAAGGCCAAACTCACCACAATGCGCTCCACCGCCCTTTACTCCCTCGCCCTCCTGGGCACGGCCGCTGGCGCCGCCATGCGCCGCGACGTCGACGACTGCCCCGCCCCGGGCCAGCCCGACCCCAACCCCTTCGAGGGCCGCCGGCTCACCGTCAGCCACGGCTACGCCGCCCAGCTCGAGCAGACCTACGACAGCTTCATCGCCGCCAATGACACCATCAACGCCCGCAAGGTGCGCACGGCGCAGACCTTGGGCACCTTCGTCTGGGTCCCCACCATCTCCGGCCTCGGTGCCCTCGACGCCACCATCTCGGCCGCCCGCGCCGAGCAGATCCAGGGCGGCGTCGACCAGGTCGTCGGCTTGGTCCTCTACAACGTCCCCGACCGGGACTGCAGCGCCGGCGAGAGCGCTGGCGAGCTGTCGGGCACTGATGGCCTGCGCCGCTACAAGGACGAGTACGTCGATGCGTGGGCCGACCGTCTCCGCCGCGCCTCGGACCTGACCTTCGCCATCGTCATCGAGCCTGATGCAATTGGCAACATGGTCACCAACCAGGCCCTTCCTTTCTGCGCCGAGGCCAAGCCTATCCAGGAGGAGGCCATGGCCTATGCTCTGAAGAAGCTTCAATTCGACAATGTTAACCTTTACATTGATATCTCCCACGGCGGCTGGCTCGGTTGGGCTGACAACCTTCCTCTGAGTATGTTATTTTCCCTCCCTTTACTGGTTTTTTTTTTTTTCTTTTTTTCTTTTCGGGGGGTTCCAACCCCCCTACCAGAGATAGACTAACATACCCCCCCTCTCCTAGCCGCCCAGCAAGCCGGCACCATCGTCCGCATGGCCGGCAACGACACCAAGATCCGCGGCTTCGTGACCAACGTGTCCAACTACAACCCCTTCCAGGCCGAGGTCCGCGAGGACTACACCGAGTGGAACCCCTCTTGGGACGAGGACAACTACGCCCGCTCCCTGGCCCCCTTCCTCGAGCAGGAGGGCCTCCCCAGCCGCTTCATCATCGACCAGAGCCGCGTCCACCTCCCCGGCGCCCGCGAGGAGTGGGGCGAGTGGTGCAACGTCTACCCCGCCGGCCTCGGCCAACAGGGCCTCACCGACGCGAACCCCTACGTCGACAGCCTCGTCTGGGTCAAGCCCCCGGGCGAGAGCGACGGCCAGTGCGGCTTCCCCGGCGCCCCCCGCGCCGGTGCCTGGCACAATGACTACATGATCATGCTGGTCGAGAACGCCCACGAGTCGATCGTCCCGGCTGCGTCGCTCGACCGGCCCCGCCAGCCTTGGTGGCCTAACTAAGAAGATGATTTCTTCTTCTTTTGTATATTGCGGGGGGGTAGATTTGTTGGTACTAGGACTGTACGACTTTACTCTTTTAGTAGACGCTAGAGTAGACAGCGCTTCCAGACATACTTTTTCTTTTCTTTTCTTTGTCCCAGATTCCAATGGTACATATCATCTGAATGAATTCCCTGTTCATAAACTTGTGACTTTGTGATGATACAGTGCTTGCAAGAGTGATGCGGTACTGAGACAAGACGGGGATGAGGGATAATCGGGGACTCAATACTCCGTAGAAGACCAATGTCAGTTTATATCATGGCTCACCAGCAATATATCTTCAACGTGTTATCCGCAACTGGGGCGTATATCCTTGTCAAAATCCATCGTATCACCCATATCCAGCTTGAGCCTTCCTGCCCGTATATTCGGCACCACGGCATCTGAGCTTTCAATCGTCAGATTCCGGGAGCTATATAGCTTCACGGGCAACGTAGCACGCACCTATATGCCGTAACTTCTGTCAGAGAACTGATCTTCAAAGCGGTAGAGATCTTCCCGTAGTGTTTACCTTTGACACTTGGCCTAAAACCTGTATTTCCACATCCAGACTCAGGGCATGGCTGACTCGGATTCCCAAGACATTAGCGTCTGGGAAGCATCTCGCCAGCGTCTTTGGGAGTAGTACATCCCGCGTGATTTCGAGAGAATCGCACCAAATCCCATCCCCGAGGACTCCTGCCATTGCCATCATTGCTTTGATTCTCAGTCAGGACTCAGGGGCAACTCCCACTGGTGGACCATTCTACTCTCCCGAACATTCGACATGCCCACAACATGTCGTGCGTGATCAATAGCGTGAACTTCCAGCAGGGTACACCGGCTCTGGACAACCCGAAGCCCCTTCTCAGCAGCGGCGCGAAGCGGAGAGTAAGGGGTATCGCAGTGCCGAGGGCAAAAGCCCGATGGGGCGTCGAGACGGAATACTAAACGTTCTGCGACCACGTCCCCTCCACGGTTGACGGATCCATTATTGTCGAGAAGGACGGAGAACTGATGATGCGGATGAGCTGAACTTGTTGACTTGCGGCCATGTTCTGCCGTCCTGGCGGATGGTCCCGGCGACCAGGGTATATCTAATACTGCAGTGCTCGCAGCCTCTGACAGTTTCCGGTGTGATAAGAAAGCGAGGCCATTCGTGGTTGAATATCATTCTTGCCTTTGCTGCTGCTTGTCGGGAGTTGGACGGGAAGATATCTGGACTGCATGGGGGTCCATTTAGCAGAGTAATTCGGGTTTCGTTAGAAAGGAGGAGTTGATAAAACTCACGCGACTCGGAGGTATCCCACCATTTTCAGTTGAACACACAGAAGAGCCGTTCCAGTCTGACGTTTAGGTACACGGAGAGAGACAGTACTACTTTGAGAATGCATGTGTGCTTCTGATTCGGGCCCTGTTAGAGTCATTTTCGGGTCTGGAATAGAATGGGCAGGTTAATGAACAACATTCGAGAACATAACGGTTCCTCAGAGATTTTACACAATCTCGATAGCCGCCCCCTGACTGCCCCTGAATAAACAGGAGAACACCGCCGACATCTTCATCTGGGTTTCGTTTTTTCCCGAACAAGACGTGAAGGGACGTGATGATCAACATGATTGAAGACTTGGTCAAAACCGACTGTATCACCGTGAAAACAGACAATCTGCCGTGTGTCTCGGATAGAAGAGCTGTGTTCTATCCAACTTGTTTGGAAACTTTCAAGACAATAGTCTGCGATGGCAGTTCCTCGTCAGAACTTACATTGAAGATATTGAAAGATGGGAATTCGGAGGATTGGGCTTATTGACACCAGGGGATTCGCAGATGAGAAAGATTTTGAAATAGCTCACAAAAGAAATGTATTAAAATAATAGAAGCATTCAACAATATTGTCCTTGGCGATGATTGAGCCCATCCAGGAAGCTATTTTCATTGACTTATGTCGGAGGAACCAGAAGAGGGTAACGGCGGCGCAGTTTCCTAATCCAATATGTCCGGGGTCTGGGCCGTTGTAGAAGAGCGCATTATGTCAGCAAGATGATTGGTGTCCATGGTATCTCTCCTCTGGGGCGGATAAGTATGCACAGTACACTACTGGGAATAACCGCGAGACGATTAATCGATGATCATAGTTCATGCACAATGGCCAATGGTCATATGAGGCTTGGTAAGAAACCGGGTTCAGGACAGAAACCCAACTTTCGTGCACCGCTGAGCCCGTTTCTTCGTGGTCCTCGGCTTTGCCACACCCGAGTCCCGTCCCTGTGGGTCCCCGAACCCCCACGTGGCCGCCGAGGCCCGTCCCTCTCTTACCGGTGGAGTCTCCCAGTCTCGTCCCCAACTTGGCTCTGCAAGATCAAGCACCTCGAAGAGGGGGGAAAAAAAATCCCCCACAGATACGGATAACCTCCATCATATATTCTGAATCGGTCCATGAAATAGACGGAGGTGACGCTCCCGGCAGGAACCCGAAGCCCGGAGCCACGTATTCGTTCTAGTTGTCCACTACGACTCAAGTAATTGGCCACAGGTCTCGACTCGAGTAATCAACCGCCCGCCTGAGCCGCCTCCCGAGTCAAATGCGACGGTATTAGTCAATCCCTGCCGCTCCAATAAGGTCACTTTCTTTACAAAAAGATCAATGCCTCCAACCGACGGAATGCAACGGTGTAACCCTAATCCCGCTCCTATTTCCACTACTGCCGGGGCTAAGGCCAGGTGTTCTGCAAGGAACAGGGGCATCTCGGGATATAAAATGACGTGGTTTCTCGATTTTCGAATGGAGTTTTGTTTACGCCTTGCTGACTGTGTGCCACTGTGACCACTGTGTTCACTGGTCAGTGGGGACTGAACCGTTCTAGTACTGCATAAAGCATCATGAGATTCTCCGTTCTCCTATCGACTTTGGCGGTCACCGCCATCACTCATGCAGCCCCATATGAGGGAGACATTGTCCAGTTATGGTAAGAAATACCTTCTTACCCTACGATCTCATGTCGAACATCTCAGCGACACTGCGACACCCCACCCCACATCTCTCATGTCTTATTATCCGGACTGACAGCAGTTTAGGAACCAGCAATGGACAGATATGGTCCGGGGCGGAGTAGCCCCGAGTAACACTACACTGCCCATTCCTATCCTACCTGCCATGATCCATGGTGCCATGTATCTGGCTTCCGTACTAACCAAAGACGACCCGCTCCTGGTCCAGCAGGCCGCCGTATCAGTAGCCGCCCACGGGGTCCTGGAGAGCATCTACAACAACAGCGTCCCCGTCCAGGACGCCATCGATGACACGCTGGAAACGGTGCTATCTGAGCTCGAGTCCGGCGGGTGCAACGGCACTGACCCTGACACTGCCACTGCCATTGCCCGCGCCAGCGCCGTGGGCCGCGACGCCGCAGCTGAGCTTCTGGCCAAGCGCGTCGACCCCTGCTTCCACGAGCCGCCCGAGTACGCCTGGGGTCCTCCCGAAGCCGGCGTATATCAGCGCACCGAGGGGCAGGGTCTCGTACCGCAGGCTCCCCAGTCCGTCTGCCTCCGTCCCTTTGCGGGTTTAGACGATATAACGCGGTTCCGGGCCCCGCCCCCTCCTGCTACGGACTCGGAAGAGTTTGAAGAGGAGATCGAGTTTCAGTTGGCAAAGGGCGGGTTGAATAGCACGTCGAGGACCGACGAGGAGAGGGACATTGCTTATTTCTGGGAAGGACCTCCTGCTGTGTAAGTTATGCTCCTGCATTCCCCTTTCTCCTCGGCCATGCTTTCCCCCTTGACCTCAGGGCCTGCTAACCCAGAAGTTTGTAGCTATTGGAACCGTGCCGCAGTAGGGGTTCTCGGCGACCGGTACAAGTCCGATGTCTTCAGCAGCGCCAAATTCTTCGCCGAGCTGAACTTTGCTGGCGCAAACGCATACATCGCAACCTGGGACACCAAGTAAGACACTCCTATCCTGATCTCCATCTGCTCTCATCTATTCCCTTTTCACGACATTCACATGCCTCCCTTCCAGGTATCATTATAACATGTGGCGTCCCATCACGGCCATCCGTCATCCCACTCCCTGGGTCCGTTCCGGGCGCGACATCCACGACCCGGACTGGTTGCCACTCCTGACACCCACCCCGTCCCATCCCGAGTATGTCTCCGGTCACTCCGCTATAAGTGCGGCGCTGGGCCAAGTCCTCAAGCAGTACGCGGGCGACGAAATCGACTTTACTACGTCAGTGGATGTGAGGAGAGACAACCGGGGCGTCATTACGCTTTCCTTTGCCAGTGTCTCCGAGATGGTTAGGAGCGCCCACAGTAGTCGAGTATACGGCGGGGTGAGTCTCCTTTACATCCCACCAATGGCACAATGCTATTCTGCTTTCTACTTGTAGACAGTGCTGATCTGGCTCCAGGTTCACTACAGGTTTTCCTGCGTAGGCGGGGGGAACATCGGCGAAAACGTGGCGCGAAGCACCCTGGAGAACTTCGACACGTTCTGGAGGCAGTTCTGATATATCGGACCTCCATTATCTTACCAGAGTTGGATTTGGACTTTATAAATAAATACGACCTACTTTATGGGCTCCTTTATATCCAAATCCCCTTCCAACCTTCCGAAGGTGATTGGGACCCCGGAGGATTTGGCCCCACTTCTCGGCGTCTCTGTGGGTCCCCGGGACGGCTTCCCCACTCGGACACGGAGGCGGACTCCCGACATTCCTTTCGTAGTAGACGGCCCTCCTTATGTTGATTTAATGTGCTGACCATATGCAGCTATGGAAGATGCATTTATTTTTGTTTCTTAGAAAAGGGAAACTATATTCCTTTCTCCGTTCGAGGCCGAGAGCTGCGAGACTCGCACGCGGCACATGGCTCCATGGCATTGGCACGGAGTGGGAGGTGTCAAACTTGCTCATATGCACGCAAGTGCATGGCATGGTCCATGGTCCATGTAGTATGGGAGAGACTATATGCAAGGTGATTAGTACTGATTACCTAGACCCTCCTTGCCCCGGTAAGCTCGTGCACGACGTAAAGTCTCAGTCAATACCAATACTAGGCATGCGTATCCAAATCAGGACGGGTACTTTATCCTTTTATGTAGTAGTATACCATCTTATAAGTTACCCCTTCCCCCGCACACTCCCGCGGCTCCCTATTCTTCATTTCTTGCCACCCTGCAGAGACGCTGCACGTTCTCCTTGCCATCCCCACTCCAGCTCGTATGCAAATACTCCATGGTCTAGACTCTACCGTAGGTAGCTGGAAACAAGTCCCCTAGTAGAAAACAAAAGCCCGGACCTCGAGGCTTTGACGCGGTATACCGGATCCCAGCTCCCCGAGGTCGAACGAGCAGTGAGGAACGGCATTGACCTGTCCAGTCTCGGAATCATACGCGTTGAAAATCACCAGTTCGGATTCCAGCTGGTCCGGCACGTAGTACCACTTGTGCTTCGGGTTGTAGTACACCTGGTAGACCTCGTTGGCGACGTTGGGGAAAACCTCGTCTACGGCGAGGAGGTCCCTGTCTCTGTCCACCGACTTGGGGTCCAAGTATGCCATGGGGAAGTCCCTGCAGGGACCGGAGAGTGGCTTCCAGATACTAAAAAAATTAAAAATTAGAAAAAAAGTGAGGCGGTTAGAGGTTGAGTAGAGCTGGCCTGTCCGCCGATTGCCTTAGGATACGGGGGTCCTGCACTCTCAAACAGTCAAACTTACTTGATGACTTGATAGCGTCGTTTCGTGACATTCTCCTTCTCCTCGCCAAAGTACTGGTCTAGTCTCCCGTCCAGTTCCTTGGTGGTGTAATCTATTACCCGTATCAGACAAGTCAAGACTCAAGACCGGGCAGGGGCAGGGCAGGGGCAGGGGCCAGAACCCTCGGTCCAGGAGAGAGAGAGAGAGAGAGAGAGAGAGAAAGGGGATATGATAAACGACGACAAGCATACCGATATGCGCCGACAGCGAAGGCTGCACCGCCTCCCAATCCGCCTCCCCAACATTCCTCTTCGGAAAGCTCGGCGACCGCTTCCGGAGCATCCAGTCGAACACCGTCATGCTCTTCGCCCCCAGCGCCGCGCACACGCTGCGGTGCAGGGCGGGGAGGTACGTCCGCTCGATCCAGTCGTCGTCGTCGAACAGCTCCGGCCGCCGCATCTCGCTCATGGAGGCCTCGTCCAGCTTCGCGATGGTCATCCCGTGGTCCTCGTAGCGCAGTCCCGCGGCGCGCAGGTTGCGGACCTGGATCCCTGGGAAGGACTCGATGGTGAAGTTGTTGGGCAGGAGGCCGGCCGGGGCGTCGTAGTGTAGGATGTAGGGCTTCTCGGTGGCTAGGCGGTCGTTGTCTTCGCGCCGGACGTAGCGGATGGATGCGGTTACTGTGTCGGCCATTTTGGGGGATGGTTTCTGCGTATTGTCGTTTCGGAGTGGGTTAGAACTTAGGAGAGCGGATAAGTAGAGGTAGGTGTTGTTTTGAAAAGGGGTAGTAAATGTTGGCAAGAAGCAGCGCATCCAACTCGAGTTGAAGGGAGGGTCGGGCCGTGGGAGGACGCCTGAGACAGTCACATCTTTATCTTGGTCTTTCTGGCTTCCAGACGGGACAGACAACGGAACAAGGCATACGGTAACACCAGTAATACCACCTTGCCACCTTGGCACCACTCCAACAAGGAGGGAGCACATTCAGCATCCCATGTCTCCGTTGCAGCGAGCCAGACTGACCCGGTCACGCAGGGGGAAAGGACATGCCCGACTCTTGGGGCAGAAAATACCGTATACGTAAGAAAAAGAAATCCAATCATAGACATATCTCTGGTTCTAACTTTCTGGAATTCGAACCCATGGACCATGGTCACAGCATATGGTAGTAGTAGTGTGCGCAAGTATGAGCAAGAAAACTCCAGCCCGTCCAAGGAAAATATGCGCACGGGCGACGCGGCATCATCGTATCTCTTGCAGATCAACATGCTCAACGGACTCGGGATTAAACGCATAATGTAACAATCCCTCAGGGTATCAGGCGAAAAGGCGACGAGTAATGTTTGGCCCGTGATTCGGGACATCTCAACATGTGTGGATGTCAAGGGGTGATGTGATGCTGCTCGTGATAGAGCGCATATCTGCACGACGACGACATCAGAGGCCGAGATCGCAACATTGTGCCGCCGTGCATCCTTGTCAATCCGTTACCTCAACCACGACTCGTGATCTTCCGTAGTACAATACTCTGTTCCCTGTTGTTTGTCCTTGCTGGTAAGTGTGTAGTCCAGAAATCTATATAAGACCTCGACAAACCCCCGTGTCCATCCTCAACATGACTCCCTTCCAACCAACAACCAACAACCGAACCAAACTTCTATTCACCACATCGCATCCTTTTCCACCACACAACATGCACGGAACCACCGCCACCAAGACCCAGCCCTGGAAGGGCACCTGGCCTCCCCCCGCCTCCGCGGCCACCCAGAACGCCGCCGCCGCCGCCCTCCCGGAGACCCTCTCCGCCGAGGAGCTCACCAACCAGCGCGCCTACGGCAGCCATGCCTCCAACACCAAGGGCCGCATCGTCCACATCTCCAACTGTGAGTAGGCTTTGCTTTGCTTTTCATTTGGTCTTTCGTTGTCCCGAGTTCGATGGCTGACAAGTAGCGTCGTTCGGCAGAAGGAACATCGCATGATTCGCATCTTCAGGGGTGAAACCTGAAATGGCCCCTCGACCTGGCCGTGATGCTGGGATTTCTGAACGGGAAGATCGAGTCTTGGGTCTCGACTGCTTTGTTCTCCTGGTATTACTGTGCAAAGTTACTTCGGACGGCTACTTCAGCATAGACAGCTAAATATATCTTCCCCCCTCATGTTGGGCCCCTGTCACATCCACCGTAATGGCGAGCTCCGTGAGATGTGATAACGTTACTGAAGCGTAGTAGTGGTGACCGTAGTAGTAGCACTGGAGGTGCTAGTGGCACTACAGGTCCATACTCGAGAGAAACCAACCCGGTGCGAGGACCAATTTAGAGAACAACTGACATGGAGCAGGGACCAAGATAGAAAAAAAGATTATAAATAGCTTCACACAACCTCATTGCAGTACCACAGACAAACGCACGTCAAGGAGTTGGCAAGTGACAGTTGATGATTCTCCCCATTGCAAACCGTAAAACTCAACTGCCTGCCCGCATGTTCGTCCTCGACTCCTCGCATAATCTATATCCCATCTAAGTGTTGTTTCCCAACGCCCGGTAAGACATAAAATATCCTGGCCAAGGTTAAGCTATGGCTTCAAAGACTAGCTTTATGCTCTGGCCCAGAGCAACAACACCTTTTTCTGTAGCTAGTCAATAGTCATACTGCATTCGCCACCGCATTAGTATCAGTGTTGACCTCGACTGCGGTCTCTCGACTCTCTCCCGCTGCCTTCTTCGTCTGCATCGTCCCCAGAGTCTGCATCTCCCCCATTCAAACCATGAAAGCCGTCAAGCATGACCACGCGCTTCTCAGCTGCCTCGGCCCGATCCCTCCACATCACACACTCCCGCCTAGCCTCCCACAGCTGCCCTCTCAGAATTGCAACATGTGCATGCAACGAAGTTAGGGAGGCATCACCATCCGACACCACCGGAAGATGCTTAACCCCTCCCGAGGTGCGCTCGCATGAGCCTTCGCCGCCGGTTGATTCTCGTAACCCCATGTCTGTACTGCCACTCCCGTGCCGTGGCGTCGTTGGCGTCTGTCTTCTCGAAACCGTCGTAGCATCTTTGGTAGAGCCCTTGCTCGAACCCGCATCGTAGGTCAATCTTATCAACCGGACGGATCTGGGCGGTGTCTTACTGCGAGACCAAGGCCAGGAAGTGCCACCAATCTCGTCATTATCGGTCCGTCTGCGAGTCCGGGGCAGTGATGAGGGGGGTTCCGGCAACTCTCTCGCCGCTCCTTCCCACATGGCCGCCATTGCCTTGACACTGGTTAGCTTTGAGGTTGAGTGGTTCGACATTCCTCTGCAGCTGGAAAAACACGGTCCAGTTGGCGTACATTGCGGTTTTGACGGGGTGAGCATATCGTTGTTCGGATTCGTTTCTGCAAGGCGAGGCATATTCCTGCCGGGTGCTTCAACAGGGGCAAGACATTCCCGGGACGAGGGCTGTGACGTCCCCTGGACCAATGGCAAGCAGTGCTCCCACGATTCCTCCTCGGCTGTGCTACAGCGCCGCTCCTCAAGAGTCCGAGGAGCTAATACCACCGTCTCGAGAGACGTATTGCCAGCGCCATAGGAGTTGTCACGAGGCAGTTGCGACCGTTCAGCGTCGACGGGGGACAAGGCATGGGAAGAGAGTCTCCCATCTTGCCTGGGGCCGGTGCCCATACACTGCCGCAACCGAGCAGCCACAAGGCCTGAACCTGAGCCCTGTGACGAAAGGTTGTCCTTTCCGCCGTCGTGCTTAGAGAACGGCTGGACTGGTGAGGCTGACAGCCTTGGTACCAGAAGGTGGTTGGACTCCTCGCCGTATTCTTTGCCCGAATACTGACACAACACTTCCGGCTGTACACTAATTCGTGCTGGGCTTGGCTCTGTTTTGAAAGGAAGGCCTGTAGTGGAGATCCGACCCGGCGACGAAACAACGGAGGGTTTGGGCCGTAGTCGCCTCATCGACAGCGTGTCCGTCCAGGTGTTGTCAGATATGGTCCTTGGCGCATCCGGTATGCCCGGGCCTCCTCGCGGCTGCTTGATGATGAACCGGTCCGAGATGACCGATTTCAGGATCCCCCTTTTAATCGCCTCATCTTCGTTGCGGCGACCCTGACATGAAAGCACGGACAGGCTCCTCATTTCCCGCACCACCTCCCGCCAGTGCGAGATGAGCATTTCGGCCGCGTCGATGGCGAGCCGAATCTTGTCCAAACCGTCTACCACTTGGGAACATTCCGGCGTCTTCAACGCCTTTCGCGGCCGCTCCTTCTTCAGCTTAGTTGGCGTGAGGGGGTCCAGCAGAGATCCCGCAGACGGGTCAGCAGCAGTGTTGATAACATAGTCGGCAAGCAGCTCCCCCACCAGGAGTGGGCCGAAGATGATGCCCAGGGCTCTGTATCCCATGAGTTCGGATGGACACGGAGAGCTTCCCGGGCCGTCTTTCTGGGCTGCATCCTCTGTATGCTGGCCGATGAGAGACAGGAGACCAAAGACGGCGCAGACGAGCTCGCGGCGGAACCGAGACCTGAGTGTACCGACGGCCAGTGCGATGAGCCGGGCCCTTTGCTTTGTCTGTCGCGATTGGTCGGGGCCGGCGGCGGCCTTGCCACGAAGTTGTGTATGAATAGCGACGAGAGCATCGAACACAGCTACACAACCGATGATACCTCCGGGAAGGACGGCGAGAAAACGTTTAAAGACAGAAGCGACGTCGTGCACCTCGGCTCTGATATGCTCGGGCAGATTCGGGTGGCGGATAGTCTGGGTGACCCCTTCTTGATTCTTTTCGCAGCAGTAGTAATCGTACAATGAGTTGATAGTGCGATGGGACCCCGGGATACGGAAGATACCAGGAGTCGTGGTGCCTAGGTCGGATAACCCCACGGATCAGCAGAGGTTCTTCTGGTTTTGCCACACCTTTGGGCAAGATAGTCGGCCCTACCATGCTCGGCCAAGTACTGAGCCGTTGCCCGGAGACACGTCGGCAGGACGAGAGACCCGGGGGCGAAGTCGGGGGGTAAGCTGAGCCAGGACTGCCCACTCAGTCTGACCATGGTTTGGAGAGTCAACGTCTTGGTATGTTGCTTTCGTGACTGCACCAGATGGTGAGCCAAGTCACTGATGCTTCGCCTGCGCCGGGCGGAACGTGATTGGGAAGACGAGTGCGATGAAGTAGATGGCTTGCGGCCGTCTTGCTCTTCGGGCGGGGGCCGGTCTTCGTGCTGCTCCTGTTGCTGTTGCTGTTGCTGTTGCTGTTGCTGTTGCTGTTGCTGTTGGGATGACACTCGCAGCATCCGAGACCACCAACTCTTCTTCTCCGGCATGGTAGATGGAGTCATGTTTCGCTTTTCGGCCTTGTTAGCACCGAATGGGTAAATAAAAACCAGGGACGAAATACTCACCTTGTCTTTGGCAAAGTCCGCCATGGCCATCCCACGTATTCCATGCTGCCCAAAGTCAAAAGTCAGTCAACGCTATCAGACGAGATGGCACAGGGATCACAGTGCCGTGCAGTGAAGTGCAGTGTAGTACAGCGCAGTGCAGCGCAGCGCAGCAGAGGAGAAGGGGACCAAAGGGATCATCACCTTCTTGGCCAGACGGTTATACTCCACGAGAAACAGTGTCCGGTCTTCGATTGCGTCCACGTCGGAGAGCATGGGGACGTTTCGGCTCGACATAGTCCCTGTCACTTCCTTCGAGTGCGCCTTGACGCCCTTGCCTTCAAGAGTCCCCATAGTCGGAAGTGGAATTGAGCTGGGGATGGCCGGTCGAGCGTCGCATGGCGTCGTCCGCTTGGGGTTTGAACTTGCGGGCATGGTGAAGGGGTGGGACAAGAAAGCAAGGCGGGGGGAGGGGGGGGGGAGGAGGCGGCGCTAACGTTACAATCTTGTCGCGTCACCCAGTCGGGGTCCTTTGGAACGAAACGGGAATAAAAATGGCTTGTGGTTCTGATGGTCGAGCTTGAGGATTGGTTTCACAAGTGTTACCGTCGTGGCAAGGCTGCATGGGGTTCGGACAGATTGAGGAGGGACCGAGGGCATGCGAAGTGGTGGATAGGGAAATGCAATGGCGAAAGGGAAGAGGCGAGGAGGCAAGAAAGAGACAGTAGAAAAGATGCATTGCCCATAACGAGAAGGACATGATCACTGTCGACCTGATCCAAAGGGAGGGGAGCTCCTGCCTTGTAGGGCCTTGAAGGGGCAGAATAGAAGTTCCAAGAGGCCATCCCCGAGCCCGCTTAAGCTCTGGCCCTGCACCATTCCTTCTTGCTTCTCTCCGTCCAGCCTTCTCTCCGTCCATAAACTCAAGACTTTGCCCGACGAGAAACAAGGTGCAAGGCGGCTAGCTGCACTTTCCGGGTAATGGCAGCGGCGGAGGTGACGTGAGACTTTAAACACTTAAGCACTTGGGACGAAGGGCGAGACGAGGGTAACGTCAAAGTAAGTATGTGGTCTTGTCGCAGTAGGAAGACTTTCTATGACCATGTTAGCGAGTCGAGTCGAGTCCAGCAGGAAGAGCAAGGTAAAAGTAACAAGGTGGGAAGGACGATAAGAGGAGGCGAGGCGGGAGTTGTTGGATTTGATGATATATATGTGGTCCATGTCCAAGAAGCAGGCGACTGCTCGAGGACAAGAACCTCAGTCTCATGGACCATAAGGTAGCTCTATGTTGGGAAGTCAAGCAGGATTTCTGTGAAGCAAGGAAAAGGGGGGAAAGAAGCAAGAAAAGAGAAGAAAAAAAGAAGAAAAGAAGAAGAAAATGGAAAAAGGAAAAGAAAATGGGCAGGAGGAGTCAGAGCTAAAATCCTTCTAAAAATCCTCTAAAACCTCTTCCCAGCCATCAGTACTGAACATGATTCCTCCCAGTATAAAGCCAGCCATCCACCTGTCAGACGCCGCGCAAATGCTCCCGGGTTCCGGTCCACAAACCCGCCCATCCTATATTCCGTCCATTCTCTTCATCCATCCTGACCTTTCCAAGGTGAAGAAAGAAAGGGAAAAGGGAGGTGGGAAAAGAAGAAAACGTCTCACTTCGTTACGCCAAGTGACGAAAAGAAAAGAAATGAAGAAAAGCAAAGAAAAACCACAGGGGGCGCAAACTAGTTGTTGTCGTCCTCTTCGCCGTAGAGGAGGACGTACTTGAGTATGTCCGATAGGGAGATGATGCCCCTGAGCCTGTTGTCGTCGTCCACCACGATCAGCCGGTGCACCCTCGACTTGCGGACCGTGTCGAAGATGGAATCCAGCCTATCGTCGGGCGAGCAGGTGTAGATGCCGGGGGAGTCGTCGGGCCGCTTGCACAGGGCGTCGCCGACGCTGGCCGACAGCTCGTCGTAGGCCCCGCCCCGGATGCAGGGGATGATGTCGACCGCTTCGAAGACGTTGAGCACGCGGCCGTGCTTGTCGATGATGGGCACGCAGGAGATGTCCGACTTGACCATGCGGTTGACCACCTGCAGGACCGACGTGCCCATGTTGGCCGTGACGAGGTTGGACCACGTGCCGAGGCCGACGTCCTTGACCGGCTTCTTGAGGAGGACGGTGTTGTGCTCGTTGTTGACCGCGATGAACTTGAGGATCCGGTACTGCGTGATGACGCTGACCACCATTTCCCGGCCCGTCTCGTCGTCGACGTCGATGAGCGGGATTCGGCGGGCCTTGGTCTTGAGCATTCGGCGCAGGGCTTCGTAGAGGGGTCGCATGGGGTGGACCGAGACTGTTTCGAGGGGCGAGACGCCAATGGCTTTTTCGATGTCTGTCAAATGTTAGTGCCACGCAAAAGTAGTAAAAGTATCCAGGTCCAGATGAGCGCCATGACCCACCTCGTAAGCTGCTGAGCCGGAAGTGTTCGAGCTTGCTCATCTCATCGGGGAACTGGCAGTAGTATTGGATGACATTGATGTAGTCGGTGGCTGTCAACAAGCCGGCAAACGTGGAGGTGTGGGAGTCCCATAACGGGGCAGAAACGATAGCTATGAGCTGTGTCAGTTGGAAGGTCCGAGTCTAGACAGACAAGGCAAAAGAGGAAAGGAGAGAGGGAAGGATAATGTGGGAGGCGGTGTTATGACTTGGGAATGACCAGTCGTACAGTTCTGGATAAGGATATTGAGGCTTTTCTTAATGAGGAGGTCGGTGTCGAGGACGATAAGCCGGAAGGAGAGTGGGAGGACATCGTAGCTCGTTCGGACTTTAAGGAATTCGCGAATCGATCTCTAGAAGGCAGGAGAAAAGACGCTGTTAGTGGTACGGTTCAACTTGAGTAATGTTGCCTTGATCGCGAAGGCCTCGGAGATCATGATAGGAACCATGGAGGATGCGAAGAACAGAGGCGGAGAGAGAAAAAAAAAACGAAAAAAAAAAATCGGGGAGGGGACACGGGACAGAGGGCAGAGGGCAGAAATGGGTAGCGGATGGACAGATTTTCTTACCAGCCCGTGCATCTGTTCCTTGTCGAGAGGACTCGGCGGCTTCGCAGGAGGCGTTGGCGTAGGCATGGTCGAGGGACTCGAGAGGGTATGAGAGGGTCGAGGTCGAAGGTAGGAGAGGGGCGTGACGAAGGGAAGATGGTGGCTCGGAGCGTGGGGAAGGGCATGTGGTCGTGCGATGGACGCAGTCGTAGCGAAGACGGGCGGGGCCGCTGCTGGTGTTGATGCTGGCGGCGCCGTTGCCGACCCCGATGACGAGGATGCTGGCGGCAGTGGTTCTTTTTCGTTTCCCTCGTCTTTTTCTCCTTCTGGGGGTTGATGCGGTCGAGGTTGGGATTGCGGGGATTGGGATTGAGACTGAGGTTGGGATTGTGGTTGGGATTGTGGTTGGGATTGTGACGGCGGATGCGATGGTGAGTGCGATGGTGGATTCGATTGTAGTTGTGGTTCTAGTTGTGATTGGGGCAGTTGAGATGGTTGTGCTGAGTCCGGTGGCGGCGCTGGTGACGATGACTCGCTTGCACTAGCATCTGGGGCATTCGGTTTCGGCCCTTGGACGGCGGGGTCGTCGCAGTACGGAGAGTCCGCCATAGTCGGTTGCACGGAGCCGAGACAGATGGGTCAGACTTTAGCGCCTCCTCGATCAAAACGTTGAGATGGTTCTTTACGAAGTAATGAATTTCTTCTTCGGCCGAGGCCCCAGACTCAACGGTCTCCCTTTCCTAATTTCCACTCTTTCGCTCTCAAGGAGAGGAGGTCGTGGGTCGTGGGTCGCGTAGGACGACAGGGGGGGATGAAAAAGGGAATAAAATGGGGGTGGAAAGTGAAGGAGGATTTTGTCGTGATGCGGTGGTCGGAAAAAGGAATGAGCGATGACGGACTGTACGTTGTACTTTGTACGAATACGGTACCCTTGGTTCCCTAAGGCAGATAAGGGAGGTACAGTACGGAGTACGTAGTGTACATCTGAATGGGATTTCAGAGAAGGAGGGAGGGGCTCGCTTCGTCTGCCGATTGCTCGATCGATAGTTAAACTGATAGACGGATAGATGGCCGTGAGTTGGTTGGCTGTTAATCTATCGGGGAAAGGTGAAGATACGGATAGAGGTTGATGCTGAGGTTGAGGGTTGAAGCACGAAAGACACGAATGTGTGTTGAATGTGTTGGGATATGGTCATCTACCTTATAAGAAATGGCTTTCTGCCTCGTCGCCTTTGGACCTCGCCTACTTTTACCTGTGCCGGCGCCGAAATTAGGACAAAACACACAGGTTGGGAACCAACCGACTTGAGCGTTTTTAAACAAAATTAACAAAATTATGTATACATATAATAATTCATCTTCACTTCCTATTGGCACCCAGTCGGGTCGATCGGCATCCAACGGCCTCTTGCAGACTGCAGCGCGTTGGAAATCGCATAAAAGACCACAGAGGGAGAGAGAGAGACCCCGCGAACAGCGAACCAGCGGACAGTCGGCTTTCATTCCGGCTCCGCTGCATATTCGGGCGCTCATCGGGGCTTGGCTATCCTGGAAAGGATTCCAATGTCGCTCGGGAGGGGTCGGACACGGGACGATAGACGATAGGGATATCTATCATGACGTGCGTTGCGTTGGGTACCAGATGCATGCATCTACTCAGCAGTTAGGTATTACATCCGTAAGGTAAGGTAGGGATCTGAGGACCTGAGGCGAGGGGATAGATAACGCCTAAACGCAACCCACATTGGCGTTCTTTACGAACATGGGGATACCTATCGAAGGTACGCAGCATACTACACCTTGCTTTCTGGTCGAGTAGCATATGGTCCTTGGTGTTTGGCATATACGTGGCTAGGGAGTCGTAGAGAAGCCTATATCCGGCTGCTTCAACGTACTTATGATTCATACAGAGCTCTGTTAAATTTAAAACCCCGACTCGCATATAATCACTGGCCCTCCCAATGAGGCCGTGGACACTATGGAGCTATTGAACTTCGTAGCTTTCGACTACGGTATGGACGGAATACCTAAGTCTCAATTGAACCACCCAAACTTCTCTTGTACTCCTTAATAACTCCTTAATCAGCAGGATATATGTATCGTCAATAATATATAAGTTACATTCTTCTTCGAAGCACGACGGCTTTCTTTCATTCCTTCTGGCTCAAAACCAAGCTGGCCTGTGCTTACTACCCAGAGCTGTCATCAGGCTTTTCTGTTCTTGGTCCTGTCGAACAGACCACAGTCTTTTCGGTTACGTAATAGGCCGGATTGCTAAGAGTATAATCCGGGTGGACGCTTGCAGAATCTGCACTATATAAAATACGGTGGCAGCGTTTCCCTGACGGTCTAAGATAGTTATAAGAGTATATAATTACCTTAATTAATTTTGACCTATTTTTACGACGATTTTGACTACGCTTTATCTGATAATTAAGAGTCTTACTTACTAAGTGAAGATATACCTATTTTATCTACTATTTTACTACTACTACCGATTTAAGAAGCTATCTAGCTACGCCGATATAGCGTATTAATCTATAAATAACTATTAAGATATCGTATCTTAGCTCTGTTACGTATAAAACCTATAAGGATTAGGAGCTCTGGCGATGCCTATACGAATCGGTTACTACCTATAATAATGTGTGGAGGTTTCTCCGCCTAGTTAATCTGACTTAGTCCCCCGAGGAGCCTATAATACCGGATTACGGCTCTTTCCCCTCTATAACACCTAGGTATACGCCTACGTAATATCTCGACCTTATAGACGCCGGCCAGAAAGTATACGACGTCGAAATCGCGCGCTAGAAGATTCTATAAACGCAATACGATAGCTGCCTAAAGGGGATCAACGCTATACTGACCTAGCAGGTTAATACTATCGACTAAAGCCGTAGATAACTACTATAAGGAGGTATACCTTATAAGGTATACGAAGCCATTAAACACGATACGGATTAGTACCTGGCTACCCGCTAAACCGATACCCACGAAGAGTATATCGAGCACGCACGGTACCCTACGAATAGCCTTAAGAAGCTCGGGGAGTGGTTAGATAAGTGGTA